TGGCATCAAATGAGAACATTCAGTTGCTTGTTTAGATAGGATCTATCAAAGATAACCCGAAGCTAATAAGGCAAGTTAAGGAAACTTTCCTTGAATGAGGCAAAGAGACTTTGAGTAGCCTTAAAAATGCCATCACCAGACCAGGACCCTTTTCAGTGGGCCTCATGGTCAGATCCCTCAGGCAGGAACATCTATCTGTGGGGTACCTATTGTGAACAGAATACCCTACTTAAGTAAGAATTGGGAGAATACTAAAGTTAGTGCATTTAAGGGGTGGACGGCCCTCCTGGAGTTTGTTATAAGCTAATGTTGGAGGCAGGTAAGTGCTGAAAAAGACCCCAGGTAGCATTTTGAACTGTAAACCAGCAAAAGAAGGCAGGTATTGTGGAGTGAAAAAAGTTGAAAGACCAGCTTTCAAATCCCAGTGGAGTTTTTTGTTTCGTTTTGTTTTGGCTAGGCAGTGGGGTTAAGTGACTTGCCCAGGGTCACACAGCTAGTGAATGTTATGTGTCTGAGGCCAGATTTGAATTCAGGTCCTTCTGACTTCAGGGCGGGGGCCTTATCCCCCCAGCCCCCCCCCCCCCCCCCCCAGCGAAGTGTTTTAAGATGTGTGTGGAGCTTGGGCAACTTTACATAGAACTTCAGTATTCTCATATGAAAGAAAAAATTTGGAATAAATGACCCCTAAGGTTTTTTCCAGTTCTAAATCCTTTGGTTCTAAGAGAAGGTTGCTTGAAGGAGTAATGGGATCTGATGTTTAAAGAAATGGTTTTATTGGTATATATAAATAGGGTAGATTGAAGAGGGGGAGAGATGAAGGGTGTAGAGCAAGGGTTCTTAGTCTGGGGTTGGTGAACTTGTTTTCTAAAGTACATTGACAACTGTATCTAATGTGCTTAGTTGGTTTTGTAATCTTCTATGTTTTTCATGTTGGGGCAGCTAGGATGGGCTCCTGAATTCAGCGGAATGTCTGGAAGAATTCAGAGAGATCTGGGAAAGTAATGACTCCTGAGGATCACTGTTGAGTGGTGGAAGACTTAAAATGGGAGCTTTGATAGGGACTGACCACTTTGGCACTGGGGACAGAAACTCTCCTTTTCTTTTTATTGGGTGGTTCCTTAATGGCAATGAAGTGAGTGCAAAACTTCTGTAACTTGGCCCCAAAGTCCTCAGACTTTGTCCCAGCTGTGAGCTCTCTGGAGCCTATTAGTGGGCCTTGAGCTCAAGGATTGGAAAATCTCTGTTGAAATGGGATCCTGAGGGCCAGAAAGAACATAGGATTTTTCAGTGACAACAGATTTTTGTCACCTGCCTCATTCCCATGAACACTTTTTCAGATTAGTGGATACTATAAAATAATTTCTTCTGTCTTTTTTTCCTCTTTTTTCTTTAACGTATTCTAATTTACTTAGAACATGCATGTAAGTCTTCTTAGAAAATTGTGTTTTTTGTAGTAGAATAGGAAAGATCTTTCATTTTTGTTTCTGCTTGGCCATTTTGATTTTAGGATTTTTTTTTTTTAAGCAGTTGGGGTTAAGTGACTCGCCCAGGGTCACACAGCTAGTAAGTGTCAAGTGTTTGGTCTGAGGCCGGATTTGAACTCAGGTTCTCCTGACTTCAGGGCCAGTGCTCTATCCACTGCACCACCTAGCTGCCCCCAGGATTTTATATATATACAGGATTTTATATGTATGTATATATATGTATGTATACGTGTGTGTATATATACACACACATATAATAAATATTTTGTTTTTAGTTAACAGTAATTTGGGGAAAAAAGTCTGCTTTCCTGTGATGATGAACTCTGCTGTCCAAGACTTGAGTTATCTGAAACAAAACAAGAGGCACAGGCTAGATTATTCTGAAGTCTAGGTCAGTCAGTCACTAAACACGTATTAAGTGCTTACTGTGTGACACATGTTAAGTGCTTACTGTGTGCCAGGCACTGTGCTAAGCCATGAGGATCCAAAAAGAGGGAAAAGACAGCCCTTGCCCTCAAGGAGCTTGTAATCTAACGGGGAAGAAAACCCACAACAAGAAGCTGAAAAGCAAGGCAGTAAGGAGAGTACGTTTGAGGGTTACAGCATTTGCCATCATAGGATCATATGATCTAGAGCCAATCCATGTAGAATTTGCTGCTTGTAGATATACTAATCATCACACATTTATTAAGCGCCTTCTGTGTGTCAGTTAACATGAGAGTTGCTGGGCATACAAAGACAGAAAATGAGTGCTGTCGAGGATCTTGATTTTCTATTGGGGGAACAACATATGTAAATAAAAGTAAATTCAAAGCATATACAAGGTCAATAAAAGTAATTTCAGGGATTCAGGGATTAGGAAGGGGGATATCAGAAGCCTGATGTAGCCCTTGAACCGAGTTCTGAAGGGAGCTAGGGAATCTGGGAGTGGAGGGGAGGATTGAATGCATTCCACAAACAGGAACTCTGCAGAGAGAGGCCCGGAGGTGGAGATGGACTGTGGAGTTTTGTGTAAAGACAGCAAGTGAGCCAGGTTGGCTGGAGCATAGAATGTGTCAAGGGAAGTAATGTGTAATATATTTGGAAAGGTAGGTAGGCCAATTTGTGAAGGTCTTTAAAAGCAAATAGGTTTGTATTGTACAATGGAACTGCCACAAAGAGATACCATAGAGGCAGAATTGACAAGCCTTTGGTGGCTGATTGGATGTGAGATGTGAGGGCATGGGAAGAGTCACAGATGTCTGGCATTTGATCGTTTTTGCCAATATTTCATCATATTCTTGTACCACAGTTTGTTCAGGCATTCCTTATCTGGTGCAATGAATCACTCAGAGCCCAGGGGTTCAAGTAAACAGTCTTTTTACTAGAAACATATCCCACCATCCCTGGATAGATGCAATTTAGGAAGTTAAAAGCCAATAAAAGGCATCATCTGGGAGGCCAAGGCCGCCCCCCCCCCCCCGGTTCTCAGGAGCTATCTGCCAAAGCCCTTAGAAGTGCCTTTGTCCTCTTCTGGCTCACAGGGCCCGCTGCAGTATCCCAGAACGAGCTGCCTGGGATCAAAGTTAACTCCACCTGTGCCCTTTGCTTCCAGTAGCACCAGCTGGTATTGTGGGAGTGTTGGGGTTGCCTCCCCAGTTCCATTAGTATCCTGGCCCACAGCAAGTCATTACCCCATTGATTGGTACTTATGTTGCTTCCATTTCTGTGCTACAGTAACAGGAGGTCACAATTTCTTACACTATCCTCATCTTGTTCTTTATATATTGAAATGTTCATATTCATTAATGATTAAGGTCACACAAAAAAGGAAAAAAAGAGGATGCAAGTATGATTCTGAGGTTGCAAACTTGGGTGACTAGAAAGATAGTGTTGGCCTCAACAGAAATAGGGAAGTTAGGAAGATGATGGATATGTAGGAGTAAAGTGCTTCAATACTATAATGATTGGTATTTCAACATTCATTGAAGATGATGGTAAATGATTCTGGGATGTGAGTCTTTTGATATAAAGTCTATGTAGGCTTCATTTTGTTTACTTATATAATATTTCTTCCCAGGGCTTTATGGAAAACACCACTATCAAGTAGGAAAAAGGCAGATGTTTTACCCATTGTGCCATGATACCTAGCAACTTGTTTAAAGCCAGAAAAAAAAGGCCGTGGTAGAGTTGGAACAATAATTTCACCTTACATATTACCCATAATACTAGCTCATAGCTTAGTAACAATGAGCAGTTAAGGAAATCATCCTAATTCTACTTTGTTGTCACTTTTGATATCTACTCAGAGGTTTGCAAAAGGATTAATACATTACTTGTCTTTTAGACCTGACTTCATTAGAAATGCTAGGCTTTTCCAGATAACCATCCATCTACATTTAGTAGAGAGGAGGCAGGTAACATTAATGTGAAAAACTCTTTATCTTTCAACTGAGCCACGTCTGTCAACATATGAGCTACTTGGTGAGAGCTCTCGGATTGTGATAATGAAAGCTTTGGATAAGAATTAGCAATAGTTATAATTTTTTGACTCAGGTTCTGAGAAAACTGAAATATTAACTGAAGCAACACCTTCGGTGATGGTATTACCTCAGAGTGAGGATATTATAGTTTACAGATGCTGTATCATAGGTTTTTTGGCATTGCTTGAACTCTCAGCCTCACCTCATTGTTCAGAATGGTGTTTTCAGAGGAAAGCTTTGTTTTCTTAATTCTGCCAGATCACATGAATGTCACCTTCTAGCTCTAGCTCATATTTCTCAGGATATACCTCACCCACATCTCTGGAAACATTTCCCCTGAGAGTGTCAGATAATCCCAATATAACCATGATGTTAACTAGGGGCTGCTGTGTACTCTGTGTGGGATGAAAAGGATTGCTGCAACAGTCAGCTTTGGTGCTTCACAAAAATATGGTGCAAATGAGCAGTTCTTCTTTTAAAAAAGTTGATTGCATTTTTTAAATTAACAAGTATTTATTTTCTCTTCCATCTTTCCCTCATTGAATTAAAAAAAAAAAAAGAAAAATAGAACACTCAAACAAATATACGTAGTCAAGCAGAACAAATTCTCCCATTGGCCATGTCCAAAAAGATAGGTCTCATTCAGCATTTTAAATCTTTTACCTCTTTGTCAGGAGGTAACATGCTTCATTTTTGGTCCTTTGGAATCATGGTTTGTCATTGCACTGATCCATGAAATCAAGTCTTTCAAAGTTGTTTTTCTTTATAATGCAGTCATTGTCTAAAGGAGTTCTTCTCACTTCACTTTCTATCAATTCATACAGGTTAGTGAACAATAATACTCTTAAAGGCAGTGGGAATTGCCTTGGTTAAATGCTTCTGGAGGAGCAGACTTGGTAAAGCGTTCTGACTGTGTTCATGTCTGCCAGTACAATCATCAGTATGGAAATCCATTCCAGGAACCCCTAGCTTGCTGTGCTTTCTAAATGTGGGGGATTGGGCTCCTGCTTTCCATGACTTGCTTAACTCTAGCTCCATCTTTCCCTTTTCTCAGGTATTTAGCTCGAGTAGGAGAACTGGAGGCCACAGATACTGAAGACCTAACTCTGAATTATGGCCTTGTGGTAGACTGTGGCAGCAGTGGCTCCAGGATTTTTGTTTATTTCTGGCCACGTCATAATGGGAACCCACATGATTTGCTGGATATCAAACAGATGAGAGATCGAAATAGCCAGCCAGTGGTTAAAAAAATAAAACCAGGTACTAATTGGGCTGTTTTCTTGTTATGGTGTTAAGTATCTACATTAAGTAGGACTAGGTAGGGGAAAAGAAGGAAAGAACCCATCTTTTCTCCTCATAGCTGCTTTATGGGGGAGGTGGGAAGTGGGTCTCTTGTTCTGGGTCCTCATAAATTCATATTTGAAATCAATTCAGCAAACTTTTATTAAGCACCTACTGTTTACAGAGCACTACATATCTTAGTGATACATATCGCTGCCCTCGAGGAGCTTACATTCCACTAGGGAGTGTATCAAGAGAGGTAAATACAAGGTAATCTGAAGAGAGTCAGAATATTAATCACTGAGAGGCTTCAAGGATGAGGTGGTGGTACCTGAGCTGATCTTCGAAGGATGATGATGATGATGATGATGATGATTTTGAGAAAATGAGGGAGAATATTCCAGGCACATGCTTGGTTTGTGCAGATGCACAGTGAGACATATAAAGTTGTTTGGAGAACAACTAGTGTTTTAGCTTGGCTGATACAGAGTGTATAAAAGGAGTCATTGTGGGATGGCAACTAGGAGGGTAGGTAGGAGCCATTTAAAAAATTTGTTCATTTTAAACTTAAATACAAAACAAGAAAAGAAAAAAAAACATTTCCATGTACACAGCAGAACATGAGAGGATTCAATACAAAACAATAAATTTCCATTTCACAAAAACCTATGTAATAAATCCTACACATTGTCTTCAAAACAATCCATTTTTTCTCTGCTTCCTTCTAGATTTTCTTTTGTTCTCTTCTGTGTATGTTTTAGTTTATTTTATTTTTCTCTCCTTGGCCCTTTCCCCCCCAAGAAGGCTGCAATTAAACTCGAATATATACACATATACCTACATATCTATAAACATATATGTACATATACTCACATGCATAGTATGATATTTTTATTTGTCAGATCTTTCTGTGGAGGATGGATAGCATCTTCCTTCATAAGTCCAAGTCTTTCCAAGTTTTTCTAAATCAACCAACTCATCATTTCTTATATCCCAGCAGTATTCCATCACAACCATATCTCTCTGAGAGATTGTCTATGAAAGTTTTTTTTTCCCATTTTTCTACTTTTCTAGTCTTGGATACATTGGTTTTATTTATACAAGAAATATTTAATTTAAAATAATCTAAATTATCTATTTTACACATGATAGGAGCTATTTGTGAGAGCCTTAAACTCTGGGATGAGGAGTTTGCATTTTATTCCAAAGGCCACAGGGAGCCACTGAATGCTTCAGATGTCTGCGTGGGAGATATGTTGGCAGCTGTGTGGCCATCAGCATGGGTGGAGGAGAGGTTGGAAGCAGAGAGACCAGTTAGGAGGCCGATGATACTAGTCTAGGTGAAAAGCGATGAGGACCTAAAAATCAGGGTGAAAAGAAGTGGAGAGAAAGAGATAGCAGAGGTGCTCCAAAGGAAGAATTGACGAGACTTGCAGATGATTGGAGAGGGGAGAGAGTGGAAGATGATCCCAAGGCTAAAAGTAGAGTAGATGGGGGTTGGTGATACCCTTTGTAGACACAGAAGTTTGAAGGATCCTGGCAATTGAATCCCTTGGGACTGAGGTGGTGGTGGTGTTTTTTTAAACTGTGTTGAAACTTTACAAATTAGTTTTCATTTTTGTTTAGGGATTTCTGCAATGGCAGAAACTCCAGAACATGCCAGTGATTACCTTCGCCCTCTGCTGAGTTTTGCTGCTGCTCATGTGCCTGTGAAGAAACACAAGGAGACACCTCTCTATATCCTATGCACAGCGGGCATGAGACTTCTTCCGGACAGGTGAGAGTAGAGCAAATTTAAATAAAATGTAGATGCTGTGTATTTGAGTCCTTTAGCCTTGGTGTGGAGGAGGAAATCGATCTTGATTGTCTGGAGTAGCTTAACCTCTCTTATCTCACTAATTGGAGATTCCTTTGGATTCTCTGCTCTCCTTTTGTGATGCAAATACTCTCTGGGAAGCCTAATTGATCATTCATACCTTAGTATGTCAGATAATAAAATGTGATAAGTGCCTACTACTCATGAGGCACTGTGCTAAGGACATGGGATACAAAAAGGGACAAAAGACAGTCCTGCCCTCTAGGAGCTCACAATCTAATGGGGAAGACAACATGCAAATAAATATATACGAAGCAAACTATATCCAAGATAAGTAGGAAATAATCAGCAGAGGGAAGGCACTAGAATTATGAAGAGTTGGTTAAAAACCTCCTGTAAGAGATGGGATTCAGTTACATTTAGTTAGTTAAAGGAAGCCAGAAGATAGCAGGCAGAAATGAGAGAGGACATTCCAGGGATAGGGGACAGCTAGAGAAAACTCTGGGAGCCAGGAGAGTGGAGTGTCTTCTTCATGGATTAGCAGGAAGGCCAGTGTCACCGGGTCAAAGAGTACATGTTAAGGAGTAAGGTGTGAGAAGACAGGAAAGGTAGGAGGGGGCTAGGTTATGAAGGGCTTTGAATGTCATGCAGAGCACTTTGTATCTGATCCTGGAAGTGATGGGGAGTCACAGGAGTCCATGGAGTAGCTAGGGTGATGTGACTGGACTTGCTTTTTAGGAAAATCATTTCAGTGGCTGAATAAGGATGGACTAGAGTGGGAAGAGATGGGAGGCAGGCAGACCCAGCAGAAGGCTATTGCAATAATCAAGCATGAGGTGATGAGGGCCTGCACCAGGGTGAATTCAAGAGCTGTTGCAAAGATGAAATCAGCAGGCCTTGGCAACAGCTTGGATGTGGGGATGAGAGGGAATGAGGAAGCCAGGACGGACTCCTAGATTGGGAACCTGAGGGACTGGGAGAATGGTGTTGCCCTCTGCAGAAATGGGGAAGTGAGGAGGTGGGAAGACTTGAGGGGGAAAGGTAATTAGTTTTGTTTTGAACATGTTGAGTTTAAGATGTCTATTGGACATCCAGTTCAGGATATCTAAAGGAAGTTGGAGATGTGAGATTGGAAGTCAGCAGCAAGATTGGGACAGGAAAGGCAGATTTGAGAAACATCAGCATAGATATGGTAACATCTGGGAGCTGATGAGATCTCTAAGTGAGGTAGTATGGAGAGAGAAGAGAAGAGGACCCAGGACAGAACCCTCAGTTAAAGCAGTCAAACCCTCAGGCACCTGCAGTTAAAGGAGACAGAACAGGAGTGGTCAGTGATTGGGAATTTAGGTTGGGCTTATTTTGGAGCTTGGAGCACTTAGGGAAGGGATGGCCTGTAACTGTTTGGACCTAAAAGATAAGAGTATAGAGAAGAGCAGTGAGGGGGCAGGCCATTTGGGGTCTTTGGGTAGGGCGAGGAACTTTCCCATTTTATTTAGAACTGTGAAGGTGACTTATTTGATACTAGAATATTGCTCCCCCTGCTGACTAACTTTGAGACTGCCTTGACTCATTCAAGTCAGGATTCTATGGTCTTTTATGGTCATTTAAAGAGCAAACCTCAGTTCACCATGGTTGGACCCAGTCTTCTTGACATCTGAGCTAGTCTAATCTTTTCCAGCTCAGCTGATCAGAGCCATAGCTATTCCCAGTCTCTCTCATTTTCCTCTCCATTTTTGATCCATTAAAGAAACCTCAAGAACTTTTTTCCTACAAATGCCAGGGCCTCCTGTGTTTGCTAAATACAAATAAATTACCAGGTGTTTTTTGTTTTATTTTCTATTTTTTTAAGGTAACCTCCAGTTATTCTCTCTCCTTCTTTTAAAACATCTTTCTTTTTAAAAAGGTTTATTAATGCCTTTTATTTTTACATTCTTGATATTCCCCCTTATTAAATCCTTCTTTTTGCCAAAGCAAAACATAAGCAAAACCAATCAATGCAGTGCAACAAATGTATCTTAAGCCCTTCCCAACTGCAAGGAGCTGTGCTGGCTGCTGCAGCTAAAAAATGAGAAAAAAAAAATGACAGCCCTTGCCATCGGACAACATTCACGCATGATTCTGTTGGGTAAAGGAGAAGTCCAAAATGCTCTAGAAAAATGTCAGATCACTTTCAGCTGTGGGGCTGGTGGGGGGGGGGGGGGCTTAGAGAGTCTGGAAAGGCTGTCCCTGGAGGAGATGACACTTGAGGGGGGCCTTGAAGGAAGAAAAGAATTTCAGTTGATGGAGATGGGGAGGGAATGAGGATGTGGGGGGTGACCCAAGTGAATGTTTAGGATGAGATCACAGAAAAGCTAGTCTTGTCCTTTGGCAACTCAGTGGTACAGTGGATAGAGTGCTGGGTCTGGAGTCAGGAAGAGCCAAGTTCAAATCTGGCTTTCGACACTTAGGAGCTGTTTGACCTCTTCCCAAGTCACTTAACATTTGTCTGTCTCAGTTTCCTTACCTGTAAAATGGGGGTAATAATAGCACTTACTTCCCAGGATTGTTGTGAGGACAGAATGAGATAATTCTTGTAAAGTGCTTAGCACAGCTCCTGGTACATAGTAAGTGGTGTATAAATGTTAGTTATTATTATAGGACAGTGGTGAGAAATAAGGCTGGAAGGGTAGGTTGTATTGTTGTGGAGGAGAAATACTAAATGCCAGACTGAGGAATTTATATTTTATTGTACATTCAGTGACAGTAGAGAGTCAGGGAAGTGATATTAGAATGTTAGAAAGATAGTTTTATCAGCTTGGTAAAGCAGAGGTATCAAACTGACTGGCAACAGGGACCTTCTAAACTCCCAAGTTTTTCATCTGCTGGAACTTGACTCAAATGTTATTGGGAAATGTTTAACAAAATAAGTAAAAATATAATACAACATAATGTAAATTTGTGGCTTTTTAAATCATCATGCCCCCACAGGGATCTATTTCTATTTGTATTTGACTCTACTGCTGTAAAAGATGAATTTGAAAAGGGGAGAGACTGTCTGTGGACTGGATACCAGTTGGCCCTCTCTTCAGTAGCTAGTTGAGAGGCAAGCAAGGTGATATACAAGGGTGATGGCAGAATGAGTAGATCTGGGAGAGATTAGTATCACCTGAGAGCAAATCAAAAGGACTTTAAAGCTCTTGATTGGTTATGACAGGATGAAGGAGAAGAGAGTTAAAGATCTATTTGACCTTTTTATGGGAAGGGCAAATGAGACTTAAATAATTTGTGAACCTTTAAAGGACCATTTAAATGTTACCTATTATTATCATTACTAATTTTTGTCAGAGTTCAGGGGTTTGCTGCTAATTAAGAACCTGACATTCTAAGATGCATAATCTATCTGCATGATTTGGTAGATCTATTCTAGCTTTATCAGCTTGACTGTTGAAATGAATTGCACCCAGTGTGAAAATGTGGGGTCAGTATTAATTGTAAATTCTGTTGTTCACCTGAGTAAGTCATAAAGTCATTCCTGACTATTCCCTGACACTTTTTAAATTAAATAACCACACCTAACCAAATGTAGAAAGGATGCACAGCCGCTCCTTTTAACTGGAGTGTCAGAAAATGGGTACAAAGACCACTGAATGTGGAGGAGAGGATGGAGGTTGAGATCTTAGTTCTATCCTGCTTAACCTCTCTGGGACTCCTATTCCTTTTGGTATCCATTCAGTATCCATTCTTGTTGATCCTACCTCTGGCCACATCTGACCTTATCCCCCAAAGGCATGAATGGTGATCTGGCTATGGATAGGTGGTCACATATCTATTGCTGGAAAGGGCTGTAGAGAGCAGCTAATCCTCATCTGACAGGTAAAGAAATGAAGTCTGAGAGCTTTTAGTGATTTGCCTGTGGTCCCTTATTTAGTAAATGGCAGAATTAGGGTCTAAACCCAGTACTTCTGACTCTAAATGCAGCACTTTTTCCATTGCTTTGTAATTCCTTCGTGGGGAATGAGCAATCGAACAGGTAGGAAAACCCCAGGGTGGAGGGGAAGGAAGGGAAGAGTGTGTGTTAGAGAATTAGCTAGTTGGTGATCATAGAAACCAAGGGAGAATCTCCTGAGGGACAACTAGAATGAAACTCATCAGAGTTAGTCATTATGAGATCATTGATGGCCCTGGAGAAAGCTGTTTCAATAGTGTTAAGGTTCAAAGCCAGATTTCAAGGGAATCACAAGTAACTTGGTGGTCTCAAAGTGGAAACTTTAAGTGGAGATGATCCTTTCTAAGAGATTAGCAGTAAAGGGAATATGGGCAGCAGGGTCAAAGCAAGATGTTGTTTTTTTTGTTTTGTTTTGTTTTTGTTTTTTAAGATGTAGATCAGAGCATATTTGTGGGCAAATGAGGAAGGCACCAATCTGATGGGGAGTTGAAGATGAGAGAGAATGATTGAAGGGACCACTTCCAGAGCAGGTGGGAGGAGATGGAATTGAGGGCACAAGGAAAGGGTTTGGCTTGGCCCAAAAGGGCCCCCTTTTCCTCTGTGACTAGATAAAGGAAGAGAGTGTGAGTGAAGACGTAGAGGGATTTTTGAGCTGTGGAGCTGGGGGAAGGAAGCTCATGACTGGCCTCCATTTTCTTGGTTAAGTAGGAGGCGAGGACATCTCTTGAAGATGATGGTGAAGGGTGTCTTTGAAAGCTTAAGAGATTTTAAAATTGCTGCTGAGGTAAGCAAGGCATAATGAGGGATGTTTCAGACATTCATAATGCAGTAACAGGTGTTGGCTCCAGCAGGCCTAAAAGGAAATCATCGTAGCCTGCAGAGATCTAGAATCCTGACAAGAGTGAGACCTATGGCTCTTTATCACACCATCTGTGAACAGCCCAAGCAAGATTGTGTAGCTGGGAAGGAAGGTTGTTGATAGAGAAGCCTGGTGAGGTCAGAGAGCATGCCAGGTGGGCTGTGCTGAGTCTGGAGACTTTGGCCCATGTTACAGCCACTGCCATGTCTTAGGTGACTAAAGTAAAGGCATGGAGGAGGGCCACGTCATTTGCTGCTCTTCAGCCTGTCCTCATGAAATCTCTGCTCCGTCTCATTCCTTTTTATGAGCAAGGAATTTCATTTCTTACAAATAAGTTTTACTGATGCCTTTTGTTCTTACGTCACAGTGATTTCTGAGACAATCGCTTCTCCCCTTAATATAACAAAGTAGTTACAATGACTTCATCTGACAATGTATGCAACATTCTACCTTTTTAGTCCTCTGCCTCTGCTGAGAGGGAGGGTTTTTTCATTATCTGTTCACTGAGACCGTTATTGGTGTTTTAGTGACATTTTCACTTACGTAGTTGCAATCATTTCATTTTTTTTCTCTGGATTCTGTTTATGTAGCTCTGCACAAGTTCATATATATTTTTCCATGTTTAAATTTCTCATTCATTTTGTATAGAATAATGTTAAATTTATATATCATATTTTGAATGGTGATTTCTTTTGCATTAAAGTAGAAACACTCAATATAAATGTTAGTTAACTAGAGCCTTGTAAAGGAATAGTCCTTTTCTTGCCCTGTTTGTAACTTCCCTTTTAATATGTCAGCAGCTTCCCTGTAGAAGGTTTGCATATTTGTAGTACCTTAAGAGGAAATCTATTTATTCATTTGGAGTTCATTCAGTACCTGAGGCCCTGAGGCCATGTCACCATGTTGGGTATTTGATAACACATGAAGGTAAATAAAACGTGGTCACCAGCCTCACGTAGTTTATCCAGTAGGGGCAGATGATGTGTACACAGTGTGGAACATGGAGCACTGGACTGGGAATTACAAGACCTGGATTCGAATCCTTGCTCTGCTGCTTACTGACTTTGTACTCCCACGGGTACCTGATCCTCTTGGGACTTTAGCTGTCCGGCACATAAGATGAAGGCATTGGGCGAGGTGATCTGAATTCCCCTGAAGCTCATAAGTCTGTGACTGACCTCTGAGGCCTCTTCCAGTCATAAGATAACATAGTTATATGACTTTGTTTCCCAAATTCTCTGCATAATTCAGTTGTTTTTCCTTTGTGTCCAATTCTTCATGACCCCATTTGGGGTTTTTTTTGGCAAAGGTACAGGAGGGGTTTGCCATTTTCTTCTCTCACTCATTTTACAGATGAGGAAACTTTGGCAAACAGGGTTAAGTGACTTGCCCAGGATCAGATGAGAACTCAGGAAGATGATGAGTCTTCCTGACTCCAGGCTTGGGGCTCTCTGCACTATGGCGCCACCTAGCGGTTTAGTTCAGTGGAGAATAGCTAACCCTGTGCCCTCATGGTGTCTTTCTTCTGTTGATAATATTTAACACGGAAATTTATGGCACATTGTATTTGATGTTGTTAGGGACCAGGGACCTATGATTGCATTAGTAGGAGGATGATTCCCTCTGCCAGTTCCAGTCTTAGAGAATTAGTGCCCAAAACACCAGGAGGTTAAACAGCCAGTGTGTGTTGGAGGCAGGGCTTGGCCCTAGAAGCTCCTGGCTTCTACTGTACCCTGTTACTTCTAATATAAGTTTAAGTTTTAAGTGCTATTCTTAACTGAAACTCAGGGTAATGATGGTATCCTGAGCCAATAATGCATTTCTAGTCATTTGAAATCTAGAAAAACCTAAATTGGCTTTGTTTAGTTATTGGCCACATTTTCCTCCCTCTCTTTTTCTTTTTTAACAGTTAACAAAATATTTAAGAAGTAATGAAATTTTGATAGATACACCATCTTGAGCCTAATAAATATTTGTAAATCTATTTCTATCTTCACGAAAATCTTAAATAACAAAAAGATACTGTAAACTTTGAAATGAAGTCTGATTATAATTATGTATTAGCTGTTGAATAATGTTTAGATTATTGAGATATGTATAGCAGTAGCCTTTTACCAAAATACATTTTGTAAATAAATATATATATATATGTTTTAACTTCTGTCTTCTTTGTATGTTCTCTTTACCGTCCACTCCCTTCTTTTCCCCTATTCTCATCCTAAATTTCTGACTCTGATGGTATTGGCCTCATGTTCAGTGTTCACAGGTTTTCTTCAACTTCTCCCCCCATGTTAGAGCATTTAACTTTGACAGTACTTCTGCTTTTACTGTTATTTTTTGTGTTATATGCCAATGTTAGTGTTGTCTATATCTGAAATAATATCACTTAAGATTTTAGAAGAAAACACATTGAAACCAGAGTTATAGTGACCTTTGAATTTTGATCCTGCTATATATTATTAAAATGAGAAGGATCTCATTGGTTGATGTTTTTATCTAAAAAGTTGACTTTTAGATTGTACATAGGAGATGATATAAATAATCTCATGAAACTAAGCAGTGATTCTGACTTGGTGACATGGTGCCTTGTTTATTGCATGAGGCACTGAAAGTGAATTTAATATCACTATGTGTTGACTTTGCTGCTTTCTTTGAAGATAGTTAGTAACAGGTATAATTATTTTATGGGTCAGAGAATTGAGCCATTGTTTTCCTGCAGCTAATTCAGAGCCGTGGTTGTACTTAATCCCTTACTGTATCCCCTGTTAGTCCAAAATTGGAAGAAGCTATGTTGGAAGACTGTTTTAACCTTAGAGGTATATTTTTTCAGGAATTAAGAGGTAGATAAAGAAAGTAAACACTGTGAGAACATAAAGGTTAAATTGAAATAACTGGACTAGGTAATTAAGACACCAGAAAAGCTACTTAATGTTCAATTTTTGGATCTTGTCTTTCCTGTAGCAAGCAGTTAGCTATACTGGCTGATCTAGTGAAAGATTTGCCCTTGGAGTTTGACTTCCTCTTTTCACATTCTCAAGCTGAAGTAATTTCTGGAAAACAAGAAGGTACTAGAACTTGATATATATACTTGATTTTTCACTTAAATGGATGTACTGTCTTAATAAAAGTCAAATATTTCACAGCATCTGAATTGCCTTCAAGACCATTTCATAAATAATTTTTATCTTTCTATATGTGCACATTTTTTATTCTGTTTTATCATGCATGATTATATGAATCTGTGTTGACATTTTATTTCAGATATAGTTCCTGTAGGGCAGGAATTTTGCCTGGTTTTAGTCTACTGTTTAAAACCCATATGCTTGAGGGTACTTAGTATTTAAAGATGATTATTCCTAGTGGGGTTTCTCATAGCTCATGGTAATTTTGGAATCAGCATGTGTCTTCAGAAACTTCAATTGATTTCCAAATCAACTGGCAAAGTGGACAACTGAATCGAAGTAGGAGAAAATGTCAGAATGCAGAAAGTACTTATTTACTGTGCTTTAGTCTGATTCTATTCTCTTAACTTGTTTTGAGATGGTTGGCCTTTTTTCTTTTGATATCTTTCCCTTCACCAGGAGTTCTGAGCCTTTTTTTTTTTTTTTTGTCATAGGCCCCTTTAGCAGGCTGGTGAAACCTTGTGGACCCCCACTCAGAATAATTTTCTTTTAAATTAAAGGAAATGTTAAGATCAGTAAAAATAAAGATGTAATTTTTCCCCCGTCCAAGTTCATAGATCCCCTGAAATCTCTTCATGATTTCTTTTGGAGGAGGAATCTGAGGTTAAAGATTCCTGTTCCTTATAGCTCCAGGCACACAGTGTTAGTGTCTCCATGTCAACTGTCACTACGTTGGGTCTGTTACCTTTGGGGTTAAATTTATAGGCTAATGTTTACATCAAATTGTTTTTCTATTTGTTATAAAAGAGGAGTAGATTTCCTGGGGTTTATGTCATATAGTTACCCATTGGCATCGTGTCAAAGTTTCTCATCTTTTCTCATGAAATCTGTAAGATACTGACATCTGATTGTATACACAGGGAAATGCCACATGTCTTTTCCAGAAAGAAAAGGTAGCTTATAGTAGGTTGTCAGTAGAGAATGTTTTGGTGGAGGCTTCAGGGTGACAGATGTCGGGTGTAAGGTGGAGAGACTCAAGTGAATGGTTTTTGTTTCTTACTCAGGTGTTTATGCATGGATTGGGATCAATTTTGTTTTGGGAAGATTTGACCATGAAGATGGTAAGTGTTTTATTGTGTTTCATTTAGTGTGGGCCTTATGAGAAATGTCCTGGGAGGCTTTAAGTGATGACTGTGGTTTGGGGGAGTAAGGCTCTCTTGATAATTATTAAATCTCCCCTGGAATCTGTCTGGCCCACTCAGAGTATATTCTTTCCTTCTATCTGGGTTTGCTTCCTGATTCTTGTTTTATTTTTACATTGATTACATTATTATGTTAGCTGGTTTTTTTTCCTCTTCTAAGAACTTCTTAAATAGATTTTTTTTCTTTCAAATACAGAATCCCTGGGTCCCCAAGAATCAGTGGCCGGACGTAGGAGGACAGTAGGGATACTAGATATGGGAGGAGCCTCTCTCCAGATTGCTTATGAGGTTCCTACCTCTCCTACTTTCCTTCCTCCAGAGCAGGTACATATGTCCCTCATGAGGGGAAATTCGGGTTTCCATGTGTCCCATTGTTTGGGTGATTTATTCAGATTGAGGTAGCTGGGTAGCATGGTGGATAAAGTGCTAGACTTAGGGTCAGGAAGATCTGGGTTCAAATTCTGTTTCAGACAACTAACAAGCTGTGTGACTCTGGGCAAGTCTCTTAACCTGTTTGCCTCAATTTCCTTATCTATAAAATGGAGATAATAGTAGCCCCTTACTCCCAAGGTATTGTGAAGACCAAATAGGATAATATTTGTAAAGTGCTTTGTAAACCTTAAACCACTAATGCTGCTATTAATAATATCGTGCCCTCTCACCTCCCTTGAGTTATTAGAGTTTATTTTAAGGGGAGACATTGGGCACATTGACAAGAAATGCAAATAGTACTGAATCGTGTAAGATACTAGAAAATAAGATGGGGAAATGTTGTTATCCTGTGTTCTGCAAGCAAGGGTATGACTCTGTTCCCGGCAGTCAGAGATAGATAATAAGATGGCAACAGAGGGCTGAAGGGTCCCTCGAGGGTTGAAGAGTCCCTCAAGGGCCACATGACTTGTCGATTTGTGCAGCTGTGGTATGGAAAGTGTACTGCACATCGTTTAACTTGGTTCTGGTGCAATAAAACAGAGCTTAATCCAACTCTAGTTCTGCTCTTGATTTGGGATCACAAAGGAATCCCCTAAAAGAGGCTTTAAGGAGGGCTTATTATAAAGGCCTTCTGGTGGGTGGTCTCTATAATAAAAATAATGTTGGAATGAAAGAGACGCCAGGGTTTAAAGTATATTCATAGCTCTCGAAACCAGGCATTTTGGCCCATGTTGTCCTTGCCTAGAAATTAATCAGTGATTCAACTTAGCTGTCTCTTTTCCCGCTGAATTACAGGAAGCTGCCAAAGTCCTGCTAGCCGAATTTAATCTGGGCTGTGATGTACAGCATACAGAGCATGTCTACAGGGTCTATGTCACCACCTTTCTGGGTTTTGGGGGCAACTTTGCCCGACAGCGCTATGAAGATGTGGTGCTGAATGAAACCTTTACCAAAAATAGGTAATGCTGTGTTGGGGTTTGAACTCTGAATTAGATTCCGGGCAGCCCAAAGATGTAATTCTCCTAGTACTGGGCCAGTATCTTGCACTTAACAGACCTTTAATGGAGGCCTGTTGAACTGATTGACGGTTAGGAAGAAAGAAGAGCATCCTCCTAAGGTAGATGAACCCTTTGTCATTTGGCTTGCTACGTCTGTTTTAGTGACCATCTGTGTCTGTAGATGGAACAGGCATCCCTCAGTATTGCTCTGTTTGAATCAGGATTTCTACAGAGAGGATATTTGAACTCTTAAGAAGTGCGTATTATGAATTATCTTACTATTCTGTGTATTTCAAAACAACATCTAAGAAGAATCGAGCTTCATTTAGTCACTTGTCTTAAAAATACGGTGAATACAGAGAGACAGGCAGCCTGGTGGAGTAGAAGGAACACTGAGCAGACCCATTCGGGTGGAGGCTGAACTCTTCTGCTTCTTCTCTGTGTGACCTTGGAAGAGTCACAGAACCTTAGTTTCTTTAACTGCAAACTGGAGACAATGATAGTAGCCTTCCCTCCCTTATAGGATTGTGAGGATGAAATGAGATAATCTCAGTGAGTGTGAGCTGTTGTTGTCATTACTACAGTCTGCTTCACAGAAAAATTACTAGATATGTTTGTTAAATTCATTGTGCTTCTTGGGGTGGGTCATTCAGAGAAGCACAGAACCAGAATCGTCATGACTTCTATCATTGTGGCAGGTTACTGGGCCAACAGACAGGTTTGACTCCAGAAACTCCCTTCCTGGATCCTTGCTTGCCTGTGGGCCTCGAGGATGTGGTGGAGAGGAACAGCCAGGTCCTGCACATCAGGGGAAGAGGAGACTGGCTCACGTGTGGGGAGATGCTGCAGCCGCTGCTCTCCCGGGCCAACGCCAGCCAGGCCTCTTTGAATGGCATCTACCAGTCCCCCATTGACTTCAACAACAGCGAGTTCTACGGCTTCTCTGAGTTCTTTTACTGTACAGAAGATGTATTGCGCATCGGCGGTCGCTACCATGGGCCGACCTTTGCCAAGGCTGCTCAGGTACATGATGGAAGTTTATTTGCATCTTTTGTGTACCACCTCCTCTCCCTGCACCCCCAGTTTCTGCTGGGGGAAATTTACCTCCAGTAAGCCTTCCCAGACTACCTTCCATCTTCCCACTGGATATGGTCTTTCCTTCCTTACTCTACTTGTATTTTCTTTATACATCTCTTATGTTTTTAACATTTCCAAATTATGTTAGAGTTGTTTGTGCACATGTCTCATGATAAATGAAAGAAATTTGAAGACAAGGAATAAGCCTCCTCTATTTTTATGTAAAGTTGATTTCATTTTAAAAATAGTGACAATAAAAATTCACAAGTCAGGAGAGATAAGCTGAGACATTATGTTTACAGGCTTCGCAGATAAGGAAACTATCATTAAATTTTTATGCATCAAGTGGTGTAGTTTCTAGGTTCTTAACGGAAAAACTAAAATGCAAGAAGATCTGACTAGTAATGCAATAATTATAGGAGATTTTATCTCTTTCAGAGTTGGATAAATATAACCCAGATTAACAAGAAAGCAGAATAGACTATTAAAAAATTAGATTTGATAAACCTTAAGGTATCTTTGGCATAAAAATGTTAAGGAATGTACGTATTTCTTAGCATGTTACAGTATCATTACCAAAAAGAAGTCCTGTCACCCCAGACCTCACTGAGAGCTGGAAGACCCAGCAGGACCCTTGGTGAGCCCTTTCCTCAGCCTTCCTGCCAAGCCAATGTCCCCATCCCCTCCTTGGCTGGAGATTAAATCCCCTCCCCTCAGCTCCTTGGCAGAAAATCCAGAGCCCCTGCTGCACTCTGGGACCTGCTCTCTCTAACCCCCTCCCAAGTGCTGTGGGCTGAGCCTCTCCAGCTGTTTCTCTTCCCTACTTTCTCCTTTTTATTGACATGGCTGTTGATACTTCTTGGATGAGCAGGAAGTCATCAAGTATGATTCCTTTGGTAAGACGAGGACGACTTGGCCTTGCTATCTCTGTTGTTGTTGTACCCTCCAGGCCCCCAGGCATTGCTCTCCGGCCTGCCAGTGCTCTCCTAGGACTCCTGAGCATGGCTCTCTACCCTGAAGCCCAGTTACCTTTAACCAAACCTTCTTTTGTTGTCTCTATGAACTTTCTGATAATAGGGTCTGGCTTGCCTTTCTGTTTGTGTCTCCTGGACTTTGCACAGTGCTTGCCCCATAGTAAATGCTTCATAAATGCTGCTTCATTCATTCGTATGCCGGGGCACAAGGGGTCATAAATGCAAAAAGGCAAAAATATTAAATGTCCTTGATAGACCATGAAACAAAAAGGAGCAATTAATGCAGGGAACACAAACCAAATACAGTACTAAATGGAGACTACATAACAACACCTTGAATAATGAGTGGGTCACAGCACCTGAATTGGTAGCTATGAAGAGAGAATGAAAACATTTATTCACTGTACAAAAATTCTGAGGATATGGAAAAGGAAGTTCTTAGAGGAAAAGTTACATTTCTGAAAAGGCATATAACAAAATAGAATAAGAAAGCATTAAGGAACCGATCGTGTGATTAAAAATCAAAAAACATTGAAATCAGAACATTGGTAAACCTCAAAGAAGAAGACATCTTGAAAATCGTGGGAGAAATAGATACAATTCAAAAGAAAAAAAAATGCCATAACCATGATAAAGCTGAGAACTTTTTTTTTCTTTATAAAAGGGAGGCAGCAGTGCCCAAGAGAACACTGGGTTCTTGAGAACCCAGAGTACTTCTACCACTTGCTCTCTCTTACTTAACCTCCCTGAGCCTCAGTTTCCTTGCCTGTAAAATGAGGTGATTGAACTAGATGGTTCCGAGGCTGTTTCCAGCTTTAGACCCGTTCTTTAATGACCATACTTTGAACATGGTAGGCAATTGGAAAAGCGGTTAGGTGGCACAGTGGGTCAGGCTCTGGGCCTGGAGTCAGGAAGATTCATCTTCCCAAGTTCAAATCTGGCCTCAGACCCTTCCTAGCTGGGTGACCCTGGGCAAGTCACTTAACCCTGTCTGCCTTACTTTCCTCATCCATCAAATGAGCTGGGGAAGAAAATGGCAATATCTCTGCCAAGAAAACCCCAAATGGGGTCATGAAAAGTTGGACCTGACTGAGGAACAAAACAAAGCCAGTTTGAGATCAAACTCCCACCTCTGACGTTTGCTAACATCTATAACCTTGGGTAGGTCACCTAACCCCACTTACCTCAGTTCCTCAATCTGTAAGATGGGCTAGAGAAGGAAGTGACAAACCACTCTAGTATCTCTGCCAAGAAAACCCCAAATGGGGTCATGTATAGTCAGATATGAGTGAAAGCTGATTGCCTAATCGCCCATAGTAGTTCAATTAGAAGATATCTATTGCTGGATTGTTACCAGAACTCACAGCTTTATCGTCCAGATTTTAAGTTCTTTTGGTTCCAGTTGAGTTTTTCTCTTAAAAACTTAAGGGATATAGGATTTTGTTGGCATTGTACCCTGCTCCAATGATGCAGAGTGTATCCCACCTACAATGTTGGTCTTTTGAGAATTCCTGTGGCCCTAACTCCTTCCTTGGAGCCATCCAAATTAAGCTCGACTGGTCTGTAAACAGCAGACCTACAGGCCTTTGCTAGACTCACAATCCAAGCCTTTCCAGCTTGGTGGAGGAGCCGCCCCAGCTTATACTTCCCTGGCTTAGCCTTTGTGACCCATTGTCAGCTCGGTGTCATGATGAAGCATCAGAAGAGGATCTGCCCAGGCTGGGGCGGGGGGGGGGGGGGGCGCGGGGGGGGGGGGGGGCGCGCGGGGGGGGGGGGGGGGGGGGTGGACCGCGGTGTGGGGCGTGCTCCCTCAGCTTCAGGAAGGATTGCTCCCAGTGGGCCTTCTCATTTGTGATTTGTGTTTGCATGTAGTGTCATATGGGCAAGGTCAAATTCTTTTCCAATGGCCTGAGCTTTAAAAAGGCCCCAACTTTCCTAGAATTCTCCCTTGTGGCCATGGTACGAGTCTGAAAGACTCCTCAGTTCAGCATGCCTGTGTTAAGCTGTGCCAGGGATACAAAGACAAAATGAAAAACAGACCCTGCCGTTACAGAACCTAAATTCTTCTTGGGGCGAGGGGATAGGATACACTATTTAAAGATATATGTATGTGTGTATATATGTATATTTATGTACACACACACATTATACATACATAAATACATACATATGTATACACACTTAACAACTTAGGAGATTTTCCTGCAGGAGACGGCACATATTATTAGGCTTGAGGGCTCATAGGGGACAGATGATAGGCAAAGGCACACAGTCAGAGGGTGGAGTGTCACATTCACAGACAAGCAGGCCAGTAGATTGCAACAAGTAGATTGCAGAATACAGTCAACTAGGAAAAGTGGCTTGGGGCCAGATTACAAAGAGCTTTAAATGCCAAGCTGAGGAGTCTGTATTTTATCCCAGTGGTAAGAGGAAGCCATTGAGTTTTCTTGAACAGGAGGGTGCTGTGGTCACACTTGTGCTTTGGAAAGAATGATTTGGCAGCTGTGTTAAAGATGAATTGGAGAAAGGAAAGACAAGAAGCCAGGAATCTAATTAAAAAGCTATCTTAATAGTGTAGGTGAAAGGTGGTAAGGGTCTGAATTAATGAGTACCTGTGTGAATGAAGATAAAGAGATGGACACAGGAGATGTTCTAAAGGTAGTGGGCCACTGATTGGATATGAGAGGGTGAAGGAGAAGGTGAATTGAGGATGACTATGAGATTGTAAACTTGGGAAACATGGTGGGCAGTCCCAGAAATGGGAACATTTGTGGGGATGGGCATAGGGGTAGGGAGAGAGGTAATGAATTCTGTTTTGTACACTTTGAGTTTGAGATGCCTATGGGATATCCAAGAGGAAATGTCCAGTGTCTGGTGGTGATACAGAACTGGAGATCAGGACTGAGATGAAGTTGGATATTTAAATCTTGGAGTCATCTGCATAGATGGTAATTGAACCTATGAGGGATGTTGACATTACCAAGAGAAAAGGGTAGAGAGAGAAGGGAAAAGGGCCCGGGAACAGTCTTGGGTTGTACATACAAATATGGGGCAGGTCGTAGATGATGGTCCAACAGAGGAAACAGTAAAGAAACAATTTGATAGGTAGAAGTGGCACAGGGGAGGCAGGGCTATGAAAACCTAGGTAAGGGAAAGTAACCAGTAGGAGATATAATGCCTGCCAAGTCTTGTAGACTTTTCTCTTTTCTTCATAGCCAGCCTACTTTTCTACTATCACTTTCCTTCTTTCCTCAGGTACTTTTAAGGAACTGGGCTGGTCCTTTGGCAGAATGTAAAAATAGGTGAAATCTATGTTCAACTTTTCCACTTCAATTTTTAGTACTGCCCTCTCACTCCCCAGCACCCTGCCCCCATCTGTTCAGTGCCCTCTTGTTTATTCTTTTTCCAGTACTTCTCCTGTACTCCCCATACCCAAGAACACCACAAAAATTCTTGGGTCCCATCCCCTTGTACTCCTTCTCTCTAAGGTTTGTAGAATTTAGGGCTGAAAGGGACCTTAGAGGTAATGTTGACCAATCCCCGCATCTTACAGGTAAAGAAATTAAGGCCCAAGAGTGGCTTGCTGAAGAGCACACAGCTAGTTAAGTGTTGGAGCTTTGACCAATCCAGTGCTTTTTCCAGGATACCAACCTTCTCTCCTAGGATTATGATAAATTGTTACTTGATCAGGTACTAATGGCTTAATATGTTGCTCTTTCTATCTGTGATACTTGTGTTTGACTTTGCAGAAAGAGTAATTTAACCAGTGACTAGAGGGAGTTGTGATTTGAGCACAGTGATGAGCTGTGATGGAATTTAGATCAGGGGACCTTTTTTTCATCTTAAAGTTGTAGCAGTTGGTCAGCCTGAAGATGACTGTTCTGTGTAGTTGTGAAGAAGGCTAGCCTTGTTTGGGAATGTCACATATAAAAGGAACCTCACTATGGAGTCCTTTGACCTAGACCTAAGCCAGTACCATTTTGGAATAGAGGTTCTCTCGAGACAGGTTGAAGTGGTTTCATGCAGCGATGGAGAGGAAAGCATGACTGAGGGCTCTGGATATTAGGAAGCTGGTATTAAGTTAAAATTGTGAATAGTTCTCCTATCATTATTATGGGATGGATTCTATGTAGTTCAATGGAGAAAAAAATCTGGCCCATTTGAAAACATGGAAATGAAGGACCTGTATCTTTTCCCTCTTTAAAAACATGAGGAAAATACTTTAGTGCTTTGTACTTACATGATTCCTTTTTCAGAAGAAGTTGGTGGTGCAATGGATAGAGTGCTGGGCCTTGAGTCAAGAAGACTTGAGTTCAAAACCTGCCTCTCAGACATTTACTAGCTGTGTGATCCTGGGCAAGTTACTTAACCTCTGTCTGCCTTAGTTTGCTCAACTGTAAAAGGGAGATAATAATATTACCTACCTTACAAGGTTGTTGTGAGGATCAAATGAGATAATATTTGGTTTTTATTTATTTTTAATTTTTTTATTAATTTATTTTGATTTATCAATAATCACTTCCATATGCTTTTGAGTTTAAAATTTTTCTCCCCCTTCCTCCCCACCACCCTCCCTAAGATGGCGCACAATCTGATGTAGGCTATACATTTACATTCATATTAAACATATTTTCACATTAGTGATGTTGTAAGTAGAAATTAAAACCAATAGGAGGAACCATCAGAAAGAGGAAACAGAACTCAACAGAAGAGAAAAAAAATAACAGTTCAGCTTCCATCATTCTTTCTTTGGGTGTGGATGGCGTTTTCCATCACGAGGCCTCTGGAGACGTCTTAGATCCTTGTATTGCCGGGAAGGGTCAAGTTTATCAATATTAGTCATCACACAACATGGCTGTTATCGTGTACAATGTTCTCTTGGTTCTGCTCACTTCACTCAGCATCAGACCCTACAAGTCTTTCCAGGTTTTTCTGAAGTCAGCCTGTTCATCATTTCTTATAGCACAATAGTATTCCATCACATTCGTATACCACAACTTGCTCAGCCACTCCCCAGCTGATGGGCATCCGGTGAGATAATATTTGTAAAAAGCACTTAGCATGGTGTCTGGCACATAGTAGGTGCTATGTAAATGTTTATTGCCTTCCTCTCCTCTTCTTCTACTTCCCCATCGTTATTTGTCAGTTTCTGTTTCTGGGCTTAAAAGACATGGTATACACAATGTATTAACTCAATTTTGTAAGGTTTACAAAGTGTTTTTCCTCCTATCAACTCTGTGAAGTAGTTCAGGCAAACTTTGTTGTCTTCTCTCTGTAGAAAAGGAAACGGAGAAGTCAGATTACTTGGTAAGAGCTCCCAGGGAGTAGATGGCAGGTCTGGGGTTCCCACCCAGGTCTCCTAAGTCCTGGGCTTTTCCCACCTCATCATACTGCATCTTCTTTTGTCAGCCTAGTCAATATGAATGGGATGAATTGTAAATTCTCCTTTTAAGTGTTTATCCTTCCTGGTTTATGTCATACATCCTCTTTATGTTGTCATCCTAGGACTACTGCAGTATGGCCTGGCCAGTATTGACTCAGCGGTTCAAGAATGGCCTCTTCTCATCACATGCTGACCAACACCGACTTAAGTAAGGCATTGATTTCCTCAAATGTCATCCTATGCAGGAGGGTTAATGGTGGAAGGGGGTGTTTGGTTCTTTTGGAGGATGTGAGGGCGTTTTGTAGTAAGCATATGCTAGGAGACTCAGGGACCCCTGAACTCATCAAAAGGAATTCTGGACTAGTGGGAGGGAAATGAAGATGAAACCCTTGATGGGGGTGGCAGCACTGGGGGAGTGTGTGGCAGTGGGAGAGCCATTCTGATGGGGCTCCATTCAGAGATAAGAAAGCTAAGGGGGGGAAGGAGAGGCACTTTTCTCTGGCATGGGATTCAAAGCAGGGATTGGAAGAGTAGGTCTGTTCTCTTTGCAGATATCAGTGTTTTAAGTCAGCCTGGATGTACCAAGTCCTCCATGAAGGATTCCACTTCCCATATAATTACTCAAACCTACAAACTGCCCAGTTGGTGTATGACCGGGAGGTGCAGTGGACCCTAGGAGCCATTTTGTATAAAACACGTTTCCTACCACTCAGGTAAAGCTGGGCACATTTAATGGGGTTTAAATCACTCTCTGCTTCCTGAGCTCGGGACTGTGGATTTAGGGTCGTCCATCCAACACTGCTGTTTGACTCGGGCCAAAGGGGCTTGTTACAGCTTGGGTACAGGGGCTGGTTAGGAGGGGCTTCCTTTGCAGCTTCTCTCAGTGCACTCTGTAAGGAAAAGAAAGAGCACAGCATGGGCAGAAAGATTGTACTGTTGTTTCAGCCTGAAACGTATGAAATGTCAGGAAGTACTTGAGGAGTCCTCTAGCACCAGCATCCAGTCATTGATCTTAACAGCCTTAGCAGCTCTAACGCCTGCAGCTGGCACTGTACAATATTTAGGTTGGGTGATTCCAATGGGAGCATGATAGTCTGTTTAATCCAAAATAATTTTTTACCTTTAGGAAGCTGATGTTGTCTTTCTGAACCTCCCATTGTTTCCCTAGGGATCTACGCCAGGAGGGTGTCCGGCAGGTCCACACTGGCTGGTTGCGCCTCTCCTTTGTGTACAACCACTATCTTTTCTTTGCCTGCATCCTGGTGGTGCTGCTGGCTATCATTCTGTACCTTCTGCGGCTGCGCCGAATTCACCGTCGACAAGCTAGAGCCTCCGCCCCCTTAGACCTGCTATGGATTGAAGACGTGGTGCCCATCATCGGGGTGCAGGTGGGACCATGATGCTGCTCCAGGACCAAAGCATCTCAAGAACCAGAGAACTGAAGCTCAGGCTGTCCTGGCCCCATCTTGGGCCTGTCTCAGAGGCTGCTTCCATGATCTGTGAGGCTATTATTGTGTTGTGTTCTCACACCTTCTCATGACCAGCTATCCACGAGAAGCCATAATCTAATCTGTGAAGTTACATTGCTGAGACACTCTGGTCTAACACAGGGCACTCAGCCTTGCTCTGCCTAATGCCTACAGGGTATGCTTCTACCCCTTTATCAGGGAGGGTTTGGTATTGGAGGAATGGTATTCTTGAGCTATACCCAGCTTTCACTCCCCTCAATAAAGAAAGGAGTGTGGCATTGGGCAAGAGGATACTGGAACTTGAGGCATCTGATACCAAGCCTAATAGATGTTAGGAAGCATGGCAATCTTTTCTTTCTCTGTAACAGAGAAGTCTCATATGTGGAGATCCACAGCTTTTAATAATGATCCAAGGATCTTTTGTGACCGTGGACCAGCAGAACTTCTAGGCAACTGAAATCACACCAATGAATTCTCTTTTTACCTGGCAGTGAAGCTCTCATGGGGTAGCCTAAGGCTCTGGCCATGGCTTGCTGCTAACGTGACTTAAATGGAATATGTCTGCTCTAAGGGCTCCATTGAAGACTTTTGTTCCTGTATGCTTGGCATGGATCAGTTTTTTCCATATCAATTTGCAGAAAAAGCTAGAGCAGGGGTGGGGAACCTGTGGCCTCAATGCCACATGTGGCCCGGAGGTTGCAGGTTCCCCACCCCAGGACTAAATCTAGGCATTATTTTTGCTTATTGAGCCTTACATATGCTTAAAGGACTCTGGAAGCTGTGACAGAGCAGGGTCCTTGGGTTTTGTCTGTTTTTTTAATTAGGATTCCTGTTCCCCAAGCCCATTTTTTCTGAGCCTGTATGTCTGGGTTCTAATTTGCCACTTCATTTCATTGCCAAGATAGATGAATAGTGTCAGAAGGGATGTATATGTTCGTGTAGAAAGGAAAAGAAATAGCAGAATTCTGGGAAAAAGGCAATAAAAGTCAAGTTTTTTAAAAAGTTGTTGATAGTTTTTGCCTTTGAGAATTTCTGAGGCAAGCAGAGTTCCAGGTAGGAATCAGTCTGATCTGGCCAGTTTGATAACTTTAAAACGCATTTCTCCCTCATCTCCATCAACATTTTGTGAGTAAAGAGAGAGAACAGGGTAGCAATAATTAGACTAGACTGTTAGGGCCAAAGGGACCAGCCTTTATGGGATGTCGTGGAACAATTACTATTTCATCTACCCTCCTTAGTTAGGTGCTTTTGGTTTTTCTATTCTTGCAACAACCTTTGATGATTTTTCCCCCTTAGTTTTTATAAAACCTCTTTTTTGACTTTTGATCATCCCCCCATAAGCCACTCTGACTTTTCCTTTCCATAATTTTGTCTTGGTCCCCTCTTCACTTAGCATGAGTAAAGAAAAGATCTGTAAATTAAACAAGGTGGAAATATACATACGTGCTTGGTGAGAACTGGAGATGAAACGGTTCCAGCCAGGTCTCAAACTGATTTTTGAGTTATTAGGGAAGGACAAACATCTCTGAATTTCTTTCAGGGAAATATTAAATGAATTCAATATGGAGATTCCATAGCTGTCTTTGAAAATGTTCCTATACTACATTAGGCCTATATGACTACTTTATCCCAATTTTGTCTTTTTTTTCCCCATTTTTCTGCTTTCATATTTTAAAGTAAAAACATGTTTGGTTGACATTTAAAAACATACAAATATGTTGGGGGTGGGGGTGGGGCAGTGACCTGGCACCAATCCAGTTCCAATTTTCTTTTCCTGCCTTGGCCTCCAAATGTTTGGAATGCTGACTTCAAGAAGACAACTAAACAAAAGCTTTCGAATCAACTGCCAATAAACCACATTCGATAGGGAAAGTATTTGGGGGTGAAGGGTACAGAAGGAAGAAAGAGTTGTTAAATACACGAAAGCACTTCCTTGTGTGTAGTTAATACTCTTCACTGTGATCATTCCTTAGGTTAAGTATATTTTATCATGTTTTTTGTGTAAATTATCTTTCATATTATTGAATTATTGGAAATGGTTTTTGGATTTTTTTGAATATGTGTTTTTTAATTACAAGGTCTGGGACCAATTATATTCTCAATCTCAAGTAAGTTATTACCCTTAAATTGTATGGAAACATGGAAGGAAGATATCTAAATGTTATCTCTTAAAACTACCAAAGACACTTAGTATTTGCTATTGGCATTTTATCTTGCATTTCATTCCTTTGCTTCTTCTGTTCTCCCTTTGTCAGCTTCCAGATGATGTCTTTTTAGAATCACAAAGAACATCACTTCCCTGACAACAGAAGAGCTGTACTTGTTACCTTCTTAGGACTTGTTCGTAATTGTGATTTGCATAGTTCAGTTTAGCTTCCGTAATCTCATCCCCCCACCACAATCTTTCAGTCTTTTTGCATTTTTTTTTCTGCTTGGGTATCCGTAATTGGAATTTTTCTCCCCATGAAGAGAAAGATCAAATTGAATGTTTTTTTCCCTTGCAAATTTTAATATGATCTCTGCTGTTACTGATTCAGGTCAAATCCCATTACATTTCCTCGTAAGAAAAATTGTAATGACATTTTCCTTATCTCAGGACAACAGATTTTTATTTGGAATAATTAAATGCAATGTATCCTTTTGCTCTTCAACCTTTGTCTATATATTCATTCCTTGGTGAAGCAGGAAAAAAAGGTGAATATTCAGTAGTTTGACATAATACAGGCTCAAGCAGTTAACTGTTAACCCCTCACACATGTCCTTACTTCTACTAACTCTGCTTTTGGGCCAAGAAAAGGGTTTTTAAAGGGTCTGAAAGATTTTAGATTTGCTTGTTAAGTATCCTCTGAAAGTGTTCGTCTTACTCCAACCCTGCCTTTACTCTAATTCACTTTGAGGATTCTTGGGAAGTATTTCTTAAAGTGTGGCCCATTAGATGTTATAAGGATAGAGACTGGACCAGACATTTCATTTTTATGGGGAATCCCTGGAGGAAGAAACTTCCCTCTACCAGTAAACCTCAGCACTTTCTCTACAACTCAGACTAGAATGCTGTCCAAAGAACAGAGAAGTTTAGAGATTTGCCTGGGGTCACGCTGCCATTATGAACCTAGGCCCTCCTGGTGGGCCTGCTTCCCAAGGGGGGAGGTTTTGGGAATATAGTCATTTACTTACATAGTGTCAGCCTTTGCTGACATCATTAATACCAATGACCTAATTTCATGGGCCTTTAGTCCACAGATCAAAACGTTTGAGAACTTAAGCAAGTGGGAGGGCTGGGGGAAGAGCCACTTTGCTGCTTTTAGATACTAATCCCTTAAGATGATAGGGAAGACATCATTTCTAACAGTAATTGTTACAGGCAATTCCAGCAGAATAAATATATTGACATGCCCTGCTCCAAGAGTTGATTATAACAGTATCATTTGCATAATATATTCTGGTGTATGTTTACCACCTTCCAGGAATACCTCAATGCCTACAATTACCTTTGCTATGCATTTGACTGCTTTGCTCACATCTGAATAATTTTCATTACTAACAAATAAGAGTATTAGCAGTGTTTAGCTAAAACTCACATACTGGCTTCTGCTCTTCTCAGTCAGTTTCATGATTCTCTAATTGAGGTAATAGTAGGCATGTATTTTTAAAATTTGCCTGCCTTTATACTCAGTAATTCATTCAGCCAACAGCATCATCCAAGGTGTTTCCAGGCTAGTCACATTCCAAATTATCGAAGGACTAAATGGATAATAAGCTCTACCTCATTAAGCAATTGGGCAGCTAGATGTTACACTGGATGGAGCACTGGGCTTGGAATCATGAAGACTCATGTTCAAATCCAGCCTTGGACATTTACTAGCTGGGTGACCCTGGGCAAATTACTTAACCCTGTTTGCCTCGGTTTCCTCATTTGTAAAATGAGCTGGAGAAGGAAATCATAAACTACTCCAGTGCCTTTGCCAAGGAAACCCCAAATGGGGTCACAAAGAGTCAGACACAACTGAACAGCAACAACAAAAACATTAAGCAATTGGATTATTATTGCAGGTGTCTAAACTTCCAGTAATAGCTTTCTTTTTTGCTGCCTTTAGTCTCTTGGCAAGCAGGTTTAGAGTTGTCTGATTCCCTCCATTTGTGCAAATATGTCTGTTATGTCACTTAGCTTAATTTCAATTGGATTAAAAAATAAGGTGGCAGTAGCTACAGTTGAGGCTTAGAATTCCACTTAGAGTTAGTCTCTACTGCATTCTCATTTTATTGCCATTTGTGGCCAAATACTTGAGTCTGTAAGGCTTTTGTATTATCCAAAAATGCTGCTAAAATCAGTTCTTGAAAGCCAAAAATTGCGGTTCATTTTATACTTAAATTTGCCATGCATTTCATGAAGACCTATTGATTATACCATGAAAAACAATGACCAACAGATGAGGGGCAGCCCAGTAAGGCTGATGCATTGCTCTGTAAGTCAGGGGCCTGGGGTTTTAGTCCATTTTCCTGTTAACTCATTGTGTGACCGCAGGGGAGTCACCGCTGCCTGTGGAACTGTTCAGCCATCTCTAAATGATTCCAGGGCCAACCCCTTCCAACTCTAGCCTTCTATGCTTCTGTTTTTGTTTTGCTTACACCATTCTCAAGTCTAACCTGGATTTCACCTTTTTGAGCCCAGTCTCTTCTTGGGCTTAGAAAGTGGATCTGCCCTGCTTAGATAGACAGCTAGTGCTTTTCTTTTGCCTCTGCTCCAGCTCATGGTTTTCCTCCACAGCAAAGTCCATTTTTATCATGACAGCTAACTTTTTAAAGTGCTTTCTTTATAAAAATGGATATTATACCCATATTACAGAGGAGGAAAGTGAAGGTCAGAGGGGCTAAATGACTTAATTGTGGTTACATAACTAGTATTGAGTTGAGGATTCAAACTCAGGCCTTCTGAGTCTAAGTCTAGGATTTTTATGTCCTCTTTGGGTCATTTCTTCCCTACTGTGCTAAACTCACAATCGGATATCCTCAAACTGTAATAACAGAGGTCACCTCCTGTCTGTTTACGGCTCAAAAATCTCCTCCAGAAGGGGCAAGACAAAAGAATAAAGCATAAAATTCCCATCACTTCACACTGGCCATTATAGTTGGAATACTCTTCTGGATACCTGAAGCAAAAAGAGTACCTTTCAGTTTATACAAACAGAATTCCATTCAGTAAGCTCTTACTAAGGTAATTAAAAAATGATTTTTCCTTCCCCTCACGGAGTTTACATCTGGTGAGTAGAATATATGTACATGAGTAAATAGGAAATATGTGTCAAGTAATTTCAAAGACAGAGGGCTAATGAGTGAGATGGGGAAGGAGGTCAGGGAAGGGCTACCTGGACTGGTTTGAAAGAAGCCAGGGAGTGTGAAGGGGAGAGCACATTCCAGATATGGGGCCCCACTTGTGCAAATGGAAGGTGGGACAATTTGTCAGCAGTTTGCCTTTATGGTAGTGGTTTTTCTACTGACTCCAGTTTTTATATTTATACAAGTGGTTTCTTATAAATCTTATGTAATTTAACAATTTAAATGGAAACAAGCTTGCTATGAAATTGTTTAATGTCCAATCATTTGTACAGTGATATCAAAATTAAACTTCTTTCAAAGTAAAAAAACAAAAAGCACTCGCCTTCTGTTATGCCATTTGACACCATGTGTGACAAATATTTTGTCCAGGCCTTGGGTAAAAGGTTCTTTCGTATCTCTAGTATTTGCTTTTTCCCGTCCCCACAGTTGCTCAGATATTTGGGTACCTTCCATGTCGGACGTGCTATTTCCTACCCCAAACCCCGGGGCCACGTCTATGAGGCAATTGGGGTTAAGTGACTTGCCCAGAGTCACACAGCTAGTGAGTGTTGTGTCTGAGACTGGATTTGAACTCAGGTTCTCATGTTCCAGGGCTGGTGCTCTATCCACTGCACCACCTAGCTGCCTCCATGTCTGATTTCTGTTCAGTAGTTTGGACCCTGCAGTCCCCACTGAATTCTGCTCTAAGCTAATGATTAAAGATAAAGGAGGCCAAATGCATCTACCACTAACTTCAGGTGTTCCCTTGGGACAGTCAGACTAACGGGGCAGTGTCCCACGGCCCTCTGCCCACTGAGGGATGAATGAGGCCCAAGTCTGCCACCAAAGAAGGCGCTTCTGTTTGATTCCTACAAAGGTAGCTTCCTGAGAGGTATAGGCCTGCAGGGCAGGCTTTTCAAACACAGTCCAAAATACTCCCCTGCTTGGCCTGAATGTAGATAATGCACCACCAGGGATCCTTCCACAGAGTTCAGTGGCCTCCATTTCTACGGGGGTAGGTGGGACAGAAGGCTGGGCCAGGGGCCTGCAAGATCAAGGTCACGTCAGTTAGAAAACTGACACCTTCCTTCTCCCCCACGTAGTCACAGACCCTTCACCTGTTCCATTCTTGGAATAGTCACAAGTAAGGTTTGTTAGCTCCTTGGAGGCTAGCCGCTACAGGCATTTCTAAGCCCTTGAAATAAGGTATTTGGCTCTGCTATAGGGGCTTCATAATTAACCAAGTGATAAACTACCTCTAGATTTCTGGCACAAAATCTGGATGGGTAAAGAAGGTACCCAAAGTGTTTGGGCTAAGGGAAGGCAGCTAAAATATCAGAGAGAAGAGTCCTACAAAGAACTACTCACAGTGACAACTGTAAAACCTAGGTGAAAAACAAAACAACTTAAAATAATACAGAATTGATCAGAACAGTAAATGCTTTTTAAGTAAGGAAATGATAGATTCTAGTGGAGATGTAGGCTCTAAGCAAATGGAAAAAACACAGCAAAGTCAGTGTCATTTCAGGGGTCAAACAGAAGGCAGAACAATCAGAGAGTGCCTGAAGGGGCCCGAGTCCCTAGTCCAACCCGTGGAGACCCAGGACAGAAAAGCAGTTTTGCCGTGGTGATGTGAGTGGCAAGCATCAGCTCTTAAAGGAACCTAGGCCTCCCACCTGGAAGCCACGCCCTTCCCTCTGTACCATCCTGTGCACACACACCCCGAAAACAGGACAATCTCGAGGAAAGGAGGGAAAGCCCAACCACTGCAGGAGGAAAGGCGGGAAGAAGTCAGAAATAGAGGAGCATGGTGTTAAAGCCCGCTCATGAACCAAACAAATGTGAGAACACAGCGGCAGTCATGTCAGGACACTGGCTCTAGGCCTGGTTTTGCCACAAACTATGGCCTTAGCCTTGCCAGCCCCTTCCCCTCTCTGGCTCTTAGTTTCCTTATCTGTAAAATGAAGAGACTGGGTAAACAAAGGCTCCAAACTGCCTAGAACCAGTCGGTGCTCCTCCATCAACCAACACATCCATTAGGCTCTGTCCTCTTCAGCACTTGGGCATCTGGGGTGGGGGGACTGGACAGTGCCAAAATTCTCACTGTTAAGATTTTGACTCCACATGACAAAGCTGAAAGCTTTGCAGCCAGGAAGGCCTGAAGGGGTCCTGCCTCTAACCTCCACTGCCCATGTGACCCTGGGTGAGTCACATTACTTCTCAGTGTTCTAGGCACCCAAGGCAGTAAGGTGCAGAGAAGATGCTGACCTCTGTACCATGACATTGTACCACTGGTGGAGGGAAGTTCCACACCAGGTTTCCCCTGCACCAGTGAAATCCCAGGTTCAGGCCCTAGCCCTAGGATTCTGGTTTAGTCTTGAAATATGTCCGTAGGGGAGCGTGTGCACAGCTGGCTCTTGGGAAAACTGTGATGTGGGCAGAATCCTTTACTCTTTAAGGAACCTCTACCCAGCCCCCTTGACTAAAAATCTTACCACTTTACTTGGGCTAAAGCATCATTATCTAAGGTAATACATCAGCCAGACAATATGTTAGTAGTGTGCTTTTCTGGACGCATACACAGAATTTTAAATTAGAAGGGACTTTTGATATCGTTTAGTAAAATCTTCTCATTTTAAGACCTAGAGCTTCATGGGGCTGGGTGACTTGCCCAAAGTCATACTGCCACATGTCCTGACTTTGAGTCAGTTAGCTTTTGCCTTTTCCATGACTGACCTATCATAGGCAGCTCAGCCAGGAGAGCCCCGGCGGAATGAAACAACAGGACTGAGGTTGTGTGCCAGAAAGGGAAACATCAATGATAGAGGCTACTTCTCTGGAGGACCAGAAAACAGAGTGACCACTGAGGGCAAAGGAACAGCTTGAGAAGAAGTTTCTTAACCAATACTTCACATTTTGTTTCCCCATATACCATAAGACTGTATCAGAATCAGCATCTTTTAAAATAATATTTTATTTTTTTCCCCAATTACGTGTAAAAACAAGTTTTAACTTCTCTTTTTTTTAAAGTTTTGAGTTCCAAATTCTATCCTTCCTTCCTTTCCCCCCTCCCTGAGATGGTAAGCAATCTGGTTACACACATTTGATCATGTAAAACATTTCCACAGTAGGCATTTTGTGCAAGAAGACTCAAACAAAAAAAAAGTGAAAAACAGTATGCTTCGGTCTGTATTCAAACATCAGTTCTTTCTCTGGAGGCAGATAGCATTTTTCATCATGAGTCCTTTGGGAATGTCTCCAATTATTGTGTTGCTGAGAATAGCTAAGTCATTCACATCTTCACTGTACAATATTGCTGTTACTGTGTACAATGTTCTCCTGGTTCTGCTCACTTCACTTTGCATCAGTTCATGTAAATCTTCCCAAGTTGAAATTAGCCTGCTCATCATTTCTTATAGCACAGTAATATTCCATTACAATCATATACCATAGCTGGTTCAGCCATTCCCCAATTGATGGGCATCCCCTCAATTTCTAACTCTTAGCCCCCACAAAAAGAGCTGCTATAAATATTTTTGTACAAATAGGTTCTTTTCCTCTTATTTTTATTTTTTAAATCTCTCTGAGACACAGACCTAGCAGTGGTACTGCTGGATCAAAAGAATCAGAGTCCTAAAAGTCTGGAGGGTTCTTAGACACCATGTTAAAAAGCAAGTGACAACTATTCACCTTAGGGGTAAAGAGTAGTTTTGTTTCATTTGACAAAGAATCCTCAGCCCAGTAACTCCATCTTGATCATCTGATCTATCTCCCACATCATTTCTTCAATCTATCAGGAGTGGAAGCCCAATGCCCCCTACAGAGCTCTCAAAAGTCTAGGCATGGCCCAGAAAGTAGCTGCCCTGAGCATTACTTTGGGATTCGCCGCAGTTCATTCATAAGCCAAAGGGCAACACTGAGTAAAGCCAGGGACCCTGACTGGTGAATTGCAGCCAAAGGAGTTGGAACATACATTAGTAGAGTACTAATGCCCAAGCCCACCTGTTGAAAAACAAACAAAACCACAATGAATAAATGAGAACAATAGTAATTATAGTGATTTTTAAAAGAAACTGAATATGGCTAGCCAAAATAAAATAAGCTTTTGTATTTCCATCTGTTTTCCCATTAGTATTAAATGTAAAATAAAGTGGAAATATTCCATAATAATTAATAGCACATAATCAAGCTATATCCACAGAGGGCAAAAAGGCAGATTATAGAGAATACAAAAGGATACAACAGAGGGAGGGGAGGTACACATCACAATGCCAAAAATTCAAATGCTCCTTTATTTTGGGGAAAAGAAGAGTAGCTAAGTCTTGTGAGAATGTGGTCACATCTATGATGCAACTGCTGGGTAGGCACAGTGGAGACTGCCAGGCCTACAGCCAAGGAATCCTCCTCTTCATGAGTTCAAATCCAGTCTCAGACACTTAATAGATGTGTGCCCTGGGCAAGGCAGGTAAACCTGTTTGCCTCATTTTCCTCATCTGTTAAATGAGCTGGAGAAGGAAATGGCAAACCACTCCAGTATCTCTGCCAAGAAAACCCCAAACAGGGTCACAAAGAGTCAGACATGACTGAACAACAAAAGATCATAGGTTCACTGAATTCTAGATTTAGAGCTGCAAGGGACTTCAGAAGTGATCTGATCTAACTTCTTCATTTTATAGATAAGGAAACTGAAGCCAAATTAAGTTTGTGACGTGCCTAAGACTGCACAGGTAGTAGACATCGTAGACATGATTTGAACCCAGTTTCTGACTCCAAAACTCTTTCCACAACATGATATTGTTGGGGAATCCAGATTTCTAGCTCCTGGTTCTTAAGAGGGGCCCCGGTTATGAGAACCATAGTATGGCTGGAAAGGCAACAGATCCCTGATAAACAGTGGAAGGAGAAAGCTTCTGGGGCTCACAGTAAAAAGAGAATGAGAAAAGATGGTATAGATCAGGGAAAGACAATCAAGAAAGATGGGGTGGTTCTGGAAAGACAGCACAGGGCATTACTTCGTTCATGTATCCAGTCAATATTTATTAAGCTCCTGCTATGTTCAAGGCATTATCCCTGGTCCAAGGGGAAAATCCAGACAAAAGGGATGCAGAATGGCCTGGTGGAAAAGGCCCAAGACCGGGGAGTCAGTTCCCAGCTCTGCCTCTTCCTTCTTGCCTTGGCCTTCACCAGTCACTGGTCTCTCTGGACTTCCATTTCTTCAGCTATGAGTGGGGTTGGACTCTATGACCTCCAGGGTCTCACTCACCCAGTTCTACATCCAACCAGGTCATCCCCTCTGTTAAACTTCCATCAATCCTTCCAAGATCCATGATTTCATCAGCATGAATACTCCCTCTACCTACACATTAGCCCTCCACAATCTGAATAATCTTTGAGAATTTCTGTAGATAAAAACATTATTCTTCTGTAGACCACCCAGGCAATAAGCCCCTCCAAACACAGCTAGGCTGATCCAGACAAAACCCATCCAGTGCGTCACTGGCCCATACCCAAAGCCTATCCGGTCTGGTAAAACCTACATTGGCCTGCTGAGCCAATAACAATCCAGGATCACCTCCATGACACGATCATGAACTGGGCTGGGATTTTACATGGAAACAGTTGTTTAATGGAAGTGAACATTCACAAGCCATCAGACGAGGCAATCGTTTATCACATACTGGCCAGCTATTTATATGTCTAAGATCTCTGCTGCTCCACAGTCTGGGGCAGGAAAGTTCTGAGCTGTGAGCAGAACACAGTGACATCAAGGACATGCTCCAACTAAAACATGTGACATAACGGAAAAACACACCAAACTCAGCATCGCAAGACTATGGGAGTGTCACTAGTCACAGTTTCCTCATCTGTAAATGGGGATGATAACAGCACCCATACTACCTTCATGCCACAGGTTTGTTGTGGGGATTAAATGAGATCATGTAGGCAATATGCTCTGAAGCTGTAAAGTATCATATAATGCTGGCAATCATTATTACCATCATCATTATAGGATTACAAGATCAGGAGCTAGAAGGGTCCTTAGTCCTCATTTACATGAACACCCTCATCTTACACATAAGTAACTAAGGCACCGAAAGCTGAAGGGATTTGTCCAAGGTCACAAAGGTACTAAGAGCAGAGCTGGGATTTGAACCCAGGTCCTTCTACCTTCAATCCTGTGCTGTCCCTTGTATATACCTTGCTAATTAAAGAAGTGCTCAGTACCTGTGCATAGGCCACAGTCAGCAATGTTGCCACAGCCATTTTGGCCCTTCGAGGAAGGGGGATTCTCCGGGAGAGGAAGTAAAGCCCGGTAATGGCTGTGACTGTAGTGATTCCCTGCAAGAAAGGAAGAAGCTGGTCAGAGCTGCTCATAAGAAATAATGACTTTTCCCCAATTTCTTCCACCTCTTAGACTCTGTAAATATATGCTGTTTTCTGGCAACATTACTAATGTCCATCTATAATGCTGTATAGACCAAGAGACAGGATTGTTTGCAATGGAGACACTTTCCCCAAAAGATCTAGGTAAAGCTAGCATGGTTGCTGTTTTCACGATCCTCTGATACAGTGTTAGAAATATCAACTATAGCAACAAGAACAAGAAACTGAGAATGAACACAGGCAAAATTATCTCTCTTTATAGATAACAGGATGGTTTGCTTGGAGAACCCAAGAAATTCAATGAAAAAATTAAGAAATACAGTTAGTGGTCAACTAGAGCTGTGATGTCATTGATTTGGATGTCCCCTCAATGACTCACCCATGCTGTCTCGCCGTAAGTTTACTGAAAGCCTTCCTTTTCTCCTGACTTTGTGAAGGCATTAAGGGGGACCTCAGGCTCTCTACCTGTTATTCTTCCTTCTCACTACATAAGGAGCCCATCTTCTTTCTTAGGCAGGGAAATCCTTGATGACAAGCTTAATCCAGTTTATTCTTTGAAAGTTCTTATTTGTCATATGTTTCAGTCTGTTCATATATACTATATACCCTGCCATCACTCTCTGTAATTCTTCCTTTTATTTTTCCCGAGACTAAGCCATATCTTGCAGCCATATAACCTGTAGAGATTATTCATCTGTATGTGTATGTATACATACATCTGTAAATGGACACATACAGATACACATGTCATTATATACAGGTACATATGCACTCACAGGTTCAAATGTATATGAATATATATACATATATGTGTATACACACACACATCTGGTATAGATAATACAAGTAGACACAAGTTTAAGACCAAAATTTAATGTGAGGACACCGAAATGGAATTGTTTCAGGAAACTGCAAAGTTCCTTTGCCCACTCCAAACTTTTCCCAGAAGTAAAGGTCCAGCTTTTTAGTCCCACTCGTTTTGCTGTATGACATTGTGTACTACAAAATAATTAATAGCTTCCGTAAAGTATTAAATAGAACTATAGAAATTATTAGCCTATCTGTATAAAACCCAAGAAGACGTACAAAGAAAAATTTCATCAAAATAACAACATGCACAAAATACTTGGGTGTTAACCTACTGTAACACACAGGAATCATATAACTACCAATAAAACACTCTTTACAGAATTAAAAGAAGTTTCCAAAGCTCTTTGCCAATTATACTTTTAATTTTTATTTTCTGCCTTATTCTTTTCATATTCTATCTTATATCACGTTCGATTCTATTCAACACTTACTAAGCAGCTGTGTGCCAGGCACTATGCTAGGCCTTGGTGACACAGCAACAACAAATAATAATCCCTTTCCAAGTAGCTTACATTCCACGGTATTCACGTCATATCCCATCAGATTGTAAATCCTTTGAAGGCAAAGACTGTATCTTTTTTTACTTCTAATGGAGCCGGGCAATCACCAGTTGCTTAATAAATGTTTCAATGTATGCTCCTTGAGGGTGGGGAATTTTGTTTCTGCATCTGCATTCTTAGCGCCTTAAGCAGGGTCTTGATAAGCCCTCGAAAAATATTTGTTGAAATGAACGGAATTGCCAAGTGTGGTAGCTAGTGGGCCAAGGGCATGTCTACCATAATTTGAGAGTTAACAGCGTGTGGGGCTGGGGGGCCACTAGGCTGTCTAAGGGGGGACAAACAATCCCAGGCCAGAAATTGATCAGGCCAAAGATCCTGTGCTGATCTGAGTGGGACTGGGTATGTAAATAGCCCTTCCACTTCCAGCTTCCTTTTAAGACAAACATACCAGGATTCGGTGATCAAACTGCACCATGGTTGGATTCTCAAAGACGTTCCTAAGGACTGGAGAAAAAGTAAAGAGATCCTCTGGGATCCATCGCTCTCCCATCTTGGGGAAGGAGTTGTATACAAGTCCGGCATCCAGGCCTGCCACAAAGGCCCCTGTAGTTCAAGATAAATTAAAAAACTCAAAATAAGAGAGAAACTAACAAATATAATACCTTTTTACACGTAAAAAGCACCCCACCACAAAACAAATACACTAATTTTTTATCCCTGTGCTACAGGGCAGAAACAGTAAAAGTAATAGAGGTATTCTGGTAATCAATCCATAGGCATTTGTTAAGCAGCTATTATGTGCCAGGCTCTGTGGGCACAAAGACAAAATAAACTTGTTTGAATGGAGGAAATCACAGGTACACACCTACATGATACACTGCACAAAAAATAACAGCCAGGTGAGTAATATGTGTATAAGAAGATCAGAAAGGCAGGCTGGGGCTGGGTGGCAGCGAACGACTTTATATTTAATCAAGTAGCCATAGAGAGCCCCAGGAGTTCATTGATTAGGAGCGACATGGCTAAATTTACACTTCAGGTAAATCTCTTTGGCAGTACTAAATGATCACGAAATAATCTTTACCCTTCATTGGTGCTCCATGAGAAAAATACATTTAGGGAAGGCTTAGACAAAATTATGGATTACAGATTCAAAATTGATTTGGTAAAGTGAAGCAAGGAGCAAATGTGGAATCTCTCACATCTCTGGGATGAAAGCAATGCTTTCTCAGGAAAACATCCCTCAGAGCATTGCTATTTCATCAATTACGTTTTGACGTGACAAAAGACTGGTAAATTAAAGACGGAGAAATACAGACTCATATTTGAGAATCAAGGTGATGAGAAAACAGAGGCTGGACAGCAGGGGATGGTGGCAAGGGAGAGGAGGGGTGAGGGGGAGAGTGATGAATAGAAGGGATGGGGAGGTGGGACACAGTAGGAAGGCACGAGGACTCAAGAGAGGATCACAAGATGAAATGATGGTAGCACTCAACTGGTAGCAATGCCTCATACCTGAAAGAGCTGTAAGGAAAACCAGGCCTGCCGTCCCATGAGCAAATCGCCTCAACTGCAGGAGCTGACGGGTTTCCGGCAACTGTACAACACCAGAAAGATGAATCACTTAGACAAACGATATTGCGAGATCTAAAAACTGGCAACATTTTTTTCAAAGCCAAATAAAAGTGAAGAATAAAGGCATTTAAGTGGCTAATGCAGGAGGTTAAAATGCTTTACCATGTTTGAAGAGATCTGTCCTAAGAGGTAAGGCTGTTTTGTATAGTATTGAGTGTTTAACAAGGATGAGTCAGTTACATATTCACTAGATGAGCACTGACAAGGTGCCAACAGAGCAAAAAAAAAAAAATGAGTCTATGTCTACTTCAGTTTTCTCTTTTTTCTTTAAAAAAAAATTAAAAAAAAAATATTCTGCACTTAAACACCCCCCCCAAAAGAGCATTTCCACATACACAGCAAAACATAAAAAGAGGATTGTATATAAACACGTGAATCTTTGGGTCATTTTTCTTGCTTTTTTAGAATGTATATAACAAATTTCACTTTATTTTCAAAACTCTCCTGTTTGTGACTCCTTTTGAACTTCCTTAGGTGCTCTTCTATGCATTTTTTTTTTTTTTTGGTGAGGCAATTGGGATTAAATGACTTGTCTAGGGTCACACAGCTGGTGTCAAGTGTCTGAGGCCGCATTTGAACTCAGGTCCTCCTGACTCCATGGCCGGTGCTCTATCCACGACGCCACCTAGTTGCCCCATCTTCTGTGCATTTTAAATAATGTTTCAGGAGCCTTTGTTGGGGTGGGGACAGTTATCACTATTGCTGATCTTTCATCACCTCCTCCATTGTTCCTCCAATTAAAAATCAAGAACAACCAAAATATCCCTTGTAATAAATAAGCATAGACAAGCAAAATCAATCATCACAGTGGCCATATCTAAAAACTATCTCTTTTTGCGCCCTGATTCCATCACCTCTCTGTCAAGAAATGAATGAATGAAATAACCATTTCTTAAGCACTTACTAAAGGCAAAGCATTGTGCTAAGTGTAGGGGATATGGATAGAAAAGTAAGATGGACCCGGCCCTCACAGAGATCCCATTCTAAAGGGGAAAACAACACACATGAAAGGTTTCAGCTACAAGTAAGATAGAAAGGCCCCACGGGTCCTTAAGGTACAAAGCAGATTTTAATGCCTCTTCTTTTCTGTCATTTCCACTGATAAGATGGTGTCCATTTCCAAGACTGGACCACTTGACAGGGCCAGCGACTTTGGGGATAAGAGCATTCCTTTCTAGATCTTCAGTAGATGTGGCTGTAGCTCCTGCAGGAGCAACTGCCGGCCTACATCTTCATAGAGATAGCAGATGCCCAGGATGGTGGCTGAAGGCACTGGGCGAAAAGCCCAGCACATGGTTATTCCCAAGGCTCTTAGGCTCAGGATCCTGGTCTATTGCCATCAGGGTCTGAGGGGAGATGGTTGGTCCAGAGGGTGCTGGTAGTTTGACTTGCCTGGCCCATGCTGCCCTCTGTCCCTACCTTAGGGTGCCTTGCCTTGGTACCTTAGCAAAGTTGGCCTGCCTCCCTTGTAGATGGCACTGGGTGGTAAGAAATATAAGATAACAAAAGCCATATAAAAATGATCCAAACCACCAATAATTAGAGAAATGCAAATGAGAGCAATTCCTAGGGTTTCGTGAAAGAGCAAGACATTTTTTAAAAATTGAGGAAATCCTAACATACCTGATACAAAAAATAACTGATCTAGAAAACAGGCCGAGATTTAAGGATCATTAGATTCCCTGAGAACAATGATTAAAAAAAAAAGCTTGGACATTATATTTAGAGAAATCAAATGAAAATTGCCCCTCCCATAGGTCCCTATGAGTATGATATATTTTTACACCAAACCTTGTGTCTAGGCGCGTATGTTCAACTCTCCTTTGTCTACCTGAAATAAGAGCAAGCTTCATACAGTGCCTGTTCCTCCCCCCCCCCCCCCCTGTTTAGATATTCTTTTCACTTGCTCCAACTATGAGTAACAGAGAATTCTACCCCCTTCTTCCTATTTTCGACATGATAGTGTAGAAATAGTACTTTCTACCTTCCTTTTACCGCCCCCACTTTCTCTTTCCCTTCTTAAAAACTACTGAATAACATTAATCTACTCTCAAGTACTCTTTCTTTAAAAAAAAATTTTTTTTTAATTCCCTTAATGCTTTTTGGAGATACTGAGGTCTGAAGAGACACATTTCTTCTCATCCTTCCAACTACCCTTTCTGGTTTCTCTGGACTCTTGTGTTTGCATTTTATACTTGCTACTCAGCTGTGGTCTTTTCATCAGAAATGCTGGAAAGTCTTCTATTTCATTAAAGGTCTATTGTCTCCCCCTGCAGGATTTTACTCAGCCTCACAGGCTAAGTTATTCTTGATTTTAAGTCTATCTTCTGCCTTATAGAATGCCATATTCCAAGATCTCTCATTTATTGCAGAAGCTGCCAGGTCTTGCATGATCCTGGCTGTGCTTCTTTCTGGACACCTGTAGTATTTTTTTCCTTGACATGGGAGCTATAGATTTTGGCTGTGACACTTCTGGGACTTTTCCTTTGGGGCTTTCTTTCTGGGCGTGATCAATGGATTCTTTATATCTCCACTTTGCCCTCTAGTTCTAACACATATGGGCAATTACCTTTCAGATCTATGATGGCTTACTCATCTCTCCAGCTTTAGTTCCTGAACCCATATATGAATAAAAATTCCCTCTACAATATATCTGATAATGGATCATCCAGCCTTTGAGGATCTCAAGTTAGGGAGAACCTAGTCTCTGCCAATGCAGGGCACTCCACTTCTGGCTGGCTTTAATTGTTAGAGTTTTTTCTTATCTTAACCCTAAACTTGTTTATTTAAACTTCTATTCATTGTTCCTAGTTTTGCCTTTTATGGCCAAGGAGAAAAAGTCTTAATTTGTCATTCTACATGATAGTTCTTCAAATATTTCTCCTTTCCTCTCTTCTCTAGGCTAAACATTTCTAATTCCTTCAACCAATCTTCATGAAATTATCTCCAGGACCCTAACCATTCCAGCTATCCTACTCTGAACTTTCCAGCTTATCACTGTCCTTCTTAAAAACACAGAACTGAATATAACATTCCAATCATAGTCTGAGCAGGGCACAACAGCAACTGTATTATCATCTCCTTATTCCTGGAAGCTATGCCTGTCTTAATGAAGACCAAGGTCACATTAGCATTACTGGTTGCCATATTACAGTTCTGACTTATAAAGAACCTTTAATGTACTCAAACCTCCAGACCTTTTTCAGGTAAACTGCTGTCTAGCCACACCTTTCCCATCTTATACTTACAAAGCTAAGTTTTAAAATCCAAAGTTTAAAACTCAATATTTATCTCTATTAAATTCAAAATTATTAGATGAGGACCAACATTCTTGGCTGTTAAGATATTTCTGGATCATGTCTTTCAGTGTGTTAACTATTCTCAGTTTTGTGTCATCTGTAAATGTGATAAGCATGCTCATATGTAAGTCACTGACAAAAATGTTAAATACCACAGTCAGCTCTTTGGGGCATTCCACTCTTGATCTCTTTCCAATATGACATAAAACCATTAATAACTGCTTTTTGGTTTCTAGCCATTAAACCAGTTCCAAATCTATTTAATTGTTCTATCACCTAGCCCTTATCTCATTGTGATGAGATGTGAGATGAAAGAATTTGTTAAGTGTTCTACTAAAATCTAAGTAAATTATATCTACAACCTTACATATATGTGTGTGTGTGTGTGTGTAAATTTAGTAATCTGTCCAAAAAAAAAAAAGAAGTGAGATTACTTGGTATGACCAATGTTTATAGAAGCCACATAGCCTCTTAGTGATCACTGCTTCCATTTCTAGATGCTCATTTACCCATCTCTTTGATTACCCAATCTAGACTTTTCACAGAAATCAAAGTCAAGCTCATGTGCCTGTAGTCTACAGATTCTGCTCTCCTACCTTTTAAAAACTAGTAACTTTTACCCAAGTCTAGCACTGTGGAGGCAGTGGGGGCCTCACTATCACTGGTTCGGCTGAATATCTGTCAATTCCTTCAGGATACTGTGATGTGGTCCGCTTGAGTCTAGTGACTTGATCTCACCCAGAGGCAGCTAGATGATCTCTTGCTAGCTTTCTACTTATTCTGAGTTTCAGTTTCCAATTTTGGTTTTGTTCTTTGCAATTAAAGATTATTCCTCTTGGCAGAGAAAAGAGAAACAATTTAAGAGCTCAGGAGCTCCGCCTTCTCCCACCCCAACGTTCCTGTCTTCTCCTTTGAATCTTCTCTTTCTCCAAATATAGCTTTAAAAAAATGCTTTTTGTTGTTTTTAGTTGTTTTCAACCAGCCTCATTTTATTCTGAATTTTAGTATTCCTGTCACTATTCTTATAGGACTGTGCTATGCTTTTAAATTTACCCTCGGGGGCAGCTAGGTGGCGCTATGGATAGAGCACCAGCCCTAGAGTCAGGAGGACCTGAATTCAAATCCAGCCTCTAACACTCACTACCTGTGTGACCCTGGGAAAGTCACTTCACCCCAACTGCCTCAAAAAAAAAATTTATCCTCCATTTCCTGCTCTTTTTTTCTTGTCTTAAAACTCAGGATGGTCAGTTAGTTTCCTATGTACCCATATCATTCTCTATAAAGACTGATGTGCACAAAGTGATAGCTGAGGGACTAGTGAATGAGATCTCTGAAAGAGAAAGAAAAGCAGGGGTTGAGAAAAGAACTTTGGAAAATACATATAGTTAGTGGAAAGAAACTGAGTGATTAAGAGGCAGGAGAACCAGGAGAGAAGTATCACAGACACCAAAAGGGAAAAAGGTTTCAAGGAAGGAATACTCAATAGTGTACAAAAGCTAGAAGCAGATTTTTTTTTTAAAGAGTGAGAACTGAAGAAGACCAGGTACTTAGGAGGTGTCCAGAATTCAGTTTTGGGAAGGTCCACATGCCAGATTATAGATGATAAAGAGGGGGTGGATTTTGAGGAAGGCAGCAAGGGTAGACTACCTATTCTCTAGGCTGGACTGCGAAAAGTAGGAAAGCAATAAAATCATCCAAATGTAGACTGTTATCCAATTTTTAATTCTATGTTGGCTTTTCACTGACACTCAAAACATTTATGTGCAGCCTTTCCCAACTATCGAGTGGTTTAGGCTCAGGTAAGACAAATTAATTTCAATATTAGAATGAGAAAAAAAAAAGCAACTCTGAAGACAAATTCACTGCAAATCGCACGCATGCGTACACACACACACATACACACACACACATGCATACCTCATTTTGTCCTCTACATGTTCATAAAACTATAGATACATCCAGCTTTCTTCTATCCTTAAAAAACCCTCACTTAACCCTACCATCTCCTCAAGCTATCATCCCCTCTCTTCCCTTTCACAGCCAAACTAAAAAAGCTGTCTACCCTCGTGCCTTCCACTTCCCCCATCACCCACTCCTCAATGACCCTCATAATCAGGCTTCCAGCATAATCTCTCAACTCAAACTCTTCTTTCTCTCCAATGTTACCAGTTACTTAATTGCCAAACCCAATGGCCTTTTCTCAGTCTTTCTCTTTCGTGACCTCTCTGCAGTATCTGATGCTTTGGCTACTGCTTTCTGTATGCTTTCTCCTCTGGGTTTTCATGACTCTGCTCTCTTGACTTTGACTGCCTTCATGACCCTGATTCTCCTCCTTGGATTTCTTTGCTGCATCATCATGTACAACCCTGCCCCACTGAGTGAACTCCAAGGCTCTGCCCTGGACCTTATTTTCTTCTTTCTTTCAATCTCTTTTGGTGACCTCATCAATTCCCACGGGTTTAAGCATCTCTTTGAAGGTGACTTGAAGAGCTACTTATATGGCTCTGAGCTCCAATCTTACATAATCAGCTGCCTGCTGGATATTTCAAACTGGAAGTGCACAGGCATTTCTGCCTTAGATTCCACTTCTTTTCCTAGGTTCCCTATTTCTGTGAGGGCTACCACCACCCTTCCAATCACCCAGGCTTGCAAACTTGGGAGTCATCCTTGACCCTACGCTCCCCACCCCTCGCATCCAAAAGGGTGCCAAGTCCTGTCAATTCTCCTTCCACATTTCTTCAATCTTTTCCCTTCTCTCTACTTACAGAACCACCACTCGAATTCAGACCCTCATCACCTCTTGTCTGGACTTAATACAAAAACCTCCTTCTTGGTCTCGCTGCCTGAAGTCTCTCCCTTCTCCAATCTATCTTCCACACAGCTGCCAAAGTGATCGTCCTAGATCACAGGTGTGACCACTTCACTGCTCACAAAACTTCAGTAGCTCTCCATTACCCCTAGGATCAAATACAAATTCTTCTGTTTGGCATTTAAAATCCTTTACAACCTGGCTCTAGTGTACCCTTCTAGGCTTCTTCATTCCTCCCTTCACAAATTCTGTGATCCAGCCCAACTGGCCTTACTCCTCTGTGCCTTGCACAGGCTACCTACCCAGAAAGCTCTCAGCTCTTTCTTAAAATCCTTAATTTCCTTCAAAGCTCAAGTCAAACAATGTCTCCTGCATGGAGCCTTAACTAATCTCTCCAGCTTCTGGTACTTCCTCCCAAAAATTACCTTGCATTGATTTTGCACATATTTATATTGTTTCTGTTGTCTCGCCCAACGTAAGCTCCTTGAGGGCAACGATGGATTTCTTTTTGTCCTTGTAGCCCCAGCACCTGGCACGCGGCAGGCACTCCACAAATGCTTGTTGTTGTTTCGGTAAAGCCAATCATAAAACTCAGTTCATCATTCCCCTTCCAGACAATGGATCATCTTCCAACGACTCTAATCTGTCAGTGATCATCATTCTTTCATTCACTTAGTCCTGAGGAAGGCAATTAGATGTGAACACCCCATCCTTCTTCCTCTCCACTTCTAGATAGGTTTTTTTCTATCCATTCTTCATTCTTTCTCTTCTATATCAATCAATATTTCTTGAACAAACCAATCAAAAAAGGTGTCTCTACTCTCAAAAATTAATCCTCTATTATACAGGTTTTCTTGAAATGGAAATTTATGGTTTTATATTGAATCCTCTCTTATGTTCTGCTGTGTACATGGGAATGGTTTCTTCTTTTTCTCATTTTGTATTTAAATTTAAAATGAATAAAAAATTTACCAAAAGAAAAAGTTAATACTCCACTTGTACACTTGCCCCTGCTTTCTCTAGGCCCTTATCTTATTTTTCTTCCATTCACTGTCAAACTCCTTCAATTAGTCACTCCACTTGGCCTCTCCTAATTTTCTGCCTGCTTCTTCTCACCTTTAATTCCTTCTCCTTCCCAGTCCACTCCTTAAATGCTCTTAATCCTCACGTCTCTGTATTCAGCCTTCTGTTTACACTCTCCCTTATAAAGTTTGCCCATTCTTACAATTTCAACTATCACTTTAATGGAGATAACCCCAAAGCTGTATCTCTAGACGAGAACTTTCTCCCAAGCTCAAGTTCTCAATTTCAATGATTCTATTTACAGGCTCTATTATCACCTCAAATACACTCCCACCCAAAGCTTATCCAGGACTATTTTCTGGCCATTCTAGGCAGCTTATTATGCTTTTCACACCTGCTATAAAGTGTATTGGTGTGAACAATGATGAAAGTGTCATATAGGTACAATATGGAACACATCAGTATCAAAGATCTCTATAAAAAGCATCATGCCTTGCTTTTACACATTAAGTTAGTCCAGTTACAGTGTCCTTGAACTAATATATAGAACACACATTATCACATCACTAAAGTACTATGCACACACTATATTCTCCTGGATTCAACAAGTAATAAAGATAACACTAAGTATATAACACTTTTCTTATTCTATGTTACCTTACATTCGCAGATAACCTTTGGTCTGAATCTCATCTTTCTTCCTTTGGGTATTGGAGAGCCTAGGGTTTGGTCTTTTAGTGAAGGGGTTCTTAACCTGAGGTCCACGGACTCGTTTTTTAAAAAATTGTACCTAACTATAACTAAACATATTGGTATTCCCTTGTAATCCTATGTATTTATTTGATGCATTTAAAACAATCTTCTGAGAAGTGGTCTGTAGGCTTTCCTGGATGGTGCCAAAGGGATGCAGGACCCAAAAAAGGTAAAGAGGCATTGCTCCCATAAGACTTCTTCCAACTTCATTATTTAAAACTTTCTCATCATCTTCAATGGACTCCATTGCACACTGGCACGCTGATAAAATGTCCTGCCCTTAAATTGATTCTGCCATGGGTGACTATGCTCCAGGTCTCTTCCAAAAATCATGCAGCATTCTATGACATGAGTTATTTAGGTCGTAGAATTCAATGTTCCTTTCATTCTTGGCTACATTTTCTTTCTAAAACATCGGTAGACTTCATTACAAGGAAAACTTTATTTAGGTCAACCATCATCCACAGTTCACTAACTTCTAAATCTGCAATGAGCTAGGACATTCCCTGACACCAGTATCACTACAGAATACAAGCAGACATCACAGCTGTCTGCGGCATGCAGACTGCCTTTTACCTTGTCTCGAGGAAGCAAAAGGGAGAGTGCAGTCCACAAGCTGGCACAATAGAGGACAAGGGCTGAGGCCAAGTGAGCAGCCAGGCGATACTGGCTCACCCGAGGGATGTCATGAGAATCTGGCTTTTCTTCTAATCCACTCTTCACCATATACCATCCCAGCAGTCCCTAACAACAAACACAGAGAGAGAGTGAGAGATACAACATGATTCAAATCAACCACATAACTACACACCTTGGAGAGAAATAATTTAACTTTATTGAGGCTAAATGAATAGTGTCCTCCCATGTCCCTGAGGTTCCAGAAATTGGTATTTACCCCCTTCCACAGCTAGACAAATCCCTCCCCCAACATCTATCCATTTTTTGTGGAGTAACTTCAGGATATTTCTCCCCTCACACTTCAAAAATCTAACAGCTCCAAATGTGCTCTGGGTCCTATCTTATCCAAGGGACATTGATTCTACCTTTATCCCTTTCTGCTCTGGCATCAAAGCCATAGCACTAAGGGCAATCACCAGCTCAAGTGATTTGAAGAGACAGTGTTATGGTTGTGAAGTGGCTCCCTAGATGGTACCTATACCTCCCATCCCCCCCCCAATGCAAAAGATCTCAGGATTACGGATTTCAAACAGGAAGGGCTCTTAGAGATCATCTAATCCAACCCTCTCCTTTTATAGACGCGGAAACTGAGAAGCAATGAGGTTAAATGATTTGTTGAAGGTCATACAAACAGAACAGGATTTGAATCAGGTTATCTGACTCTGAAAGGTCCTTTTTGTGACTTCTTTCCCCCTTCAAGGCAGCTCTTGGTGTTAATTTTAAACTACTTCTGTGTATATAAAAATGGTAAAGGGGAATCACACAGTGATTTGCCCTTCCCTATACTCCTAGAAGCTTTCTGGCATCTTTCTTGGCCCCTCTGCCTTTAACATACATATTTCTCACTCTGAAAAAAGTCAGTTTCCCCTCTGCCTTTTCCAATTCCTCTTTCATCTTCTGTCTCTCAGCAGGCGAGTCCTGATGCCCTTACCTCCTTTTAGCCTTCTCCACTGCTCTGGACTCGTGTTTCTGCAGCTCCAGGGACACTGTACTTCTGCCTCATGTTTCTAGCATCTTTCAAGCTCTCATATTCACTGACCCATTAACTGTGGGGAGTCTTTTAAAGCTCTTTTCATTCAGGAACTTGACATATACAATTTCAATCCCTATTGAGTCTTCGCTTCTCACCTGTCTGCACTCCTCAGGACTTGGCCTTCACTAACTACTCTGGGAATCTCATCACTTGGCAAGATCAATTCAATCCTGTAACTTAAACCTTATCGTACCCCCTGGCCCTGGGGTCATGCCCCCTGACTGGAGAGCTCCTCTCAGAACCTCCACTTAAGGAGGGCATCCAGGCCAGCCATCAATTAGTTTCCCATTCAACTTCACTCTTCAGGACTTTGTCATCATGTTCCATCCCCCTCCTCCTCCCCCTGCTCCCTAGCTTCCTTCTATGTTGTCTTCCACCATTAGATTGCAAGCTCCTTGAGGGCATGGCCTGCTTTTCCTTTTCTATTCCCAGTGCTTGGCACTGTAACTGGCACACAGTAGATGTTTACTGATGGAAGGAATGACTACTCTGACTTTCTATTGCTCAGCTAAATCTCTAGTTCTGATTTCTCACCTGCTTTCTAGTTCCCACTTCACTTAGATGTCTTGCTGCCATCTTAAGATAAAACCCCTACTCCCAAGCTCTCCACTCTTAACCAATGCCACCCTGACACAACTTCAAAACATTCTACGGTACAGTTACAAGGATTATACATCCACAACTGGAAGGCACCTGAGGATTATCTAATCCAAGCCCCAGTTATAAGAGGAAATCTAATGGCACAAAAAAATAGTTATGATACTTAGGAAAGGCTTTCTAATTCTGAAGGGATCTAGAAACAATGAAACAAAACATTATTTAGTCAAAAAATAGGTTGATTTGTAAGCTCAAGTGGATGTTTCTAAAAATCTTTGAATCTTTTATGACTCACCTGGAAACAGACCAAGCCACAGAGGGCAAGAACACGACCTTTCATGCCATGGTTCAGCCAGCCCTTTCTCCAAAAGTAGACAGTGGGAAGGATATATGCTAGGCCCACAATCCGTCCCCACATTCGGTGTGAATACTCCATGTACCAAATAAACTTGAATTCTGCCAAGGTCATGTTATGGTTCAAGCTAGGTGAGAGGGAAATCAATAAAAGAGAATAAGAAAATATTTTTAGTTAAGTTTAACATGATAAAACAAAGGTACATTTGCACAGCCTCACAAAATAGGAAATACCTTTTTTTTTTCTTGAAGGCAGGAGTTGCTCCTTGCTAAAGAGAGTAAACATTACAGTATATCTTATTTGTCAATGGGAGATTTTTACTTCCTGGGGGGGGGGGGGGGTGGGGGTGTGTGTGTGTCTGTGTGTGTGTGTGTGTGTGTGTGTACACACAAAATCAAGCTGCACTAAGAAGTTTAACTTCCAGAATCCAAGAAGTCAAGTAAAATTGTTGACCTAGTCTCTCATTTGCTGGAATATTCAATACAAACAGCATTTTACATACATTAAGGAAAATTCAGTATCTTCAGTATTACTCTGGCATTCCTCAGAGGAATATCCTATCCTCCTGCAGGATTCTCAAGTCTATTCCATGACCAAAATGCCAAGTTGGAGTTTCAGGTATAGTCCAGAGAACACACAAAGCCTATCAGAACCAGACACTAACAAAGAGAATCACATATTTTGAAATATTTGATTATAGGTAATGAAATAGTAAAAATAAATGAATAAATAAATAAAGCAGATTAGGATGTTCCTATGGGATTCATTTTTTGTTTTCCCCCATACTTCCACTCATAAACTCAATTCAATTTCACCTAACAAACATTTGGTGCTTGTTACTACTTTCAAATTATTGTGCTTACATTTTAAATTCTGGAAACTGCTGGTATTTTTGGAATTCTGCTTCCCATTCTTCTTGGCTTGTGGGTGGTTTCATCTCCTTTATCAAGTGCCAATCTACCATGGAGAGCCCAGACTCTGTCAACCTTAAGATGAAAATAGAAATGGACAATATTAAGATCTTAAAAGAAATCTACTGGCTCCATTACTTACAGACTAAAGAAATAAATATCTGAATTTAACCTTGCTAAGGATAACATTCTGCTTTCCCTCCTCTCACTAATAATTTTTTTTCCTAATTTTCCTTAAATCAGGCACACGTTTATCCCACCTTTTCTCTCATCTTTCCCTTTCTCTTCCTACTAGTCTTTGACTAGCAATATCAAGTTTTCCTATGAGATCTATCATTCTGTATTTTTAGAGGTTTAGAATTTCAGATCTGAAAAGAGCCTGAGATCATATAGTCCAACCCCTTCATCTGACTGATGAGGAAACTGAGGCCCAAGGAGTTTATATAATTTGCCCAAGTTAGTGGAAGTATCCCAGATTCTGTTTCTGAAATTTGTGCTCTTTTCACTCTGCATTATTGTACTTTTGAAAAACATCAGAATTATTTGTTGTTCGGCCATTTCAGTTGTGTCCAACTCTTTGTGACCCCATTTGGAGTTTTCTTGGCAAAGATACTGAAGTGGGTGGCCATTTTCTTCCCTCATTTTACAGATGAGGAAACTGAGGCAAGCAGGGTTAAATGAGTTGCCTAAGGTCACAAAGCTAGTAAATATCTGAGGCTGGATTTGAACTCAGGTCTTCACTGGATAGTAAATGATGAAGCTCCTAACTCATTTCAAGTTTTATTGGGGATTGCTCACCTAGTCACTCCACCAAGAATAACTGCTCCTGCTACTGTTCCACTGCAGACCAAGAGCCAACGGCCCATAATCCGATTGGCAGCCTTCGTGGGGACAGACACTGCCCCACTTCCAGACTGCAAAGCTACTTCAGACAGAGTACTGTGCTGCCTTTGCAAGAGAGGGAGCTTTTGCCCATAATGGCAACCACACTAAGGACCAAGGGAAGAAATATCATGGTTTTAGCATGAAGGTAAGACCTTCTAATATGCTAAACCTTTACCATTAGTACACTCTATGCTTTTCTACCATATTGCCTTGTCCAATTCTTACTAGTTATAAATTCCATGAAGACAAGGGGACATTTTATCAAACTCACAAATTATAGTAGTATTGTTTTCAAAGGGCTTTCTTCACAACTTGGAGGTAGTACGCAGCAGCTGGATTTGGAATCAGGAAGATCTAGATTCAAGTCCTACATCAGATACTTATGTAGAACTGGGAAAGTCACTGGACTTGTCTAAAACTCAGTTCCTCCTCTACAACTTAAAAGAAGAGGACTGGAACTGAGTCCCCTTCTAAATCTTGAGCTCTTGATCTATGATCCTATGAAGTCAGAGCTGGGAGTCAATCACACGCCATTATGATAACATGATATATCACTAGAAGAAATCTTAAAGATCACTTAATCCATTCCTCTCATTTTTCTGATGAGGAAACTGAGGCTCAGAAAACTTATGACTTCCAAAGGGTATACATTCATTCATTCATTCATCCATTTAGTCAATATTGAGGAAACTGACACGGACAGAGGTGGTGATTTGCCCCCTGGTCTTCCAGACTTCAAAACCAGCTCTACAAAGTAACAACAGTATCTAGCATTTGTATATCGCTCTGGGGTTCGCATAACGCTTTACATACATTATCCCATTTGATCCTCAAGGAACTTACTTTCTATTGGGGGACAGGAAACATGTACACAGGTACAAAACATATACAAAGTGATTGCGGGGCAGAATCAGGACAATAACAGAACAAGGAATGAATAAAAGGACATTGCAGGGGTGGCCCTCCAATACGACCTCGGGCTCCCGGGCCCATCCCATCGCTGGCCCTCATTCCCTCTCCGCCCTGACTGACCCCAGACCCGCCCCTCACTTCTCCCTAAGCTAGCTCTGATCCTCTGAGAACCCTGCTGGGGCGCCCGTACCCGGGGAGCCCCCCTAGTAGCCAGGAGCCGGACGCCTGGACTCCCTAGCACCGCTTTTAGAGGAGGAAAGAGTAACCGCAGCATCGTGAACGTGACTGCAGCTGGACGGACTGCGAGGCCCTCAAAAATCACTGCTCCACTGCACACTTCCTCAGTCGCTCCACGCCGGCTTCCTCCCCGTGAAGAAATGTACTTCCGGGGCGCGCAGAGTCCGTCGCAGGGGATGGGGCTTATCTCGTCACGTGATCACGGACGCAGGGAGTACGTTGCCGGAAATTTGACTACTGCGCCTGCATCTGCGCCTGCGCCTGCGCCTGCGCTCGCGACGCCACTGAGGATCCTCCTTTCGGAGGAGTGAGGTGGGAAGGCGAGGGATCGTTGGGGTCACGCGCCTGTTGCAAACCAGCATCCAAATCGCGTCCACCCCGGACTGAAGCCGTGAGGATGAAAAGGCGGGGAATCTCCAAGGAGCAGAAGCGAGTCCGTGTAGCCCCGGTCCAGCCAGGTGAGCGCCGCCGGAGGGATGTCGAGGGGCTTAGCTCGTTTGGCGTGAGCGGCAGCGTGGTAACGCGGGGTGAGCGCCGGGTTCGAATCCGGGCCCTGCCTGGTGTGCCCTTGGGCGAGGCCCAGCCTCTCAGGGCGTTGGTTTCCTCGTCTGCAAAATGAAGGGAGGGTGAGGTTGGGGTTGGGGTTGGGCTGGAGTCGGCAAAGCGTTTATAAAATGCTCTGCCAGGCCGTGGGGATACACAAGGGAAAATGAGTGAAGTGGTGCCTGCCCTCAGGGGCGTGTGTCAGCCAGGTGGCGGGATGGTGGAGGCAGGAAGTCCCCGTGACACGTACCAGCCGTGTCTGATCCTTGGGTGACCCGGGACATGTCATTTCCCCTTTGCCTCAGTTTCCTTATCTGCAAAATGGGATTAATAGTAGCACTTGCCGAGCATAAAATAAGGTCGTATTTGTGAAGCACTTTGAACCAGCACTTGTCGATGCTGTCATTATCATCTAGTAATACAAAGTGAGGAGGGAGAGAGTACATATATAGTATGTATGTATATATGTACCCCATTCCCGGCACACTCAGTGTGTGGTCTTGAGCAGGTCACTTAAGCTCTCCTGCCCCCCAGTTTACTTATCTCTAAAATGAGGAGGCTTGGACTAGACAGCCTTCTTTCAGTTATCAATCAATAAACATTTATTAATCACTTATTATGAACCAGGCAGTGTGCTAAGTACTGGAAGTTCCTTCCAGTGCAAAATCTACGTCCCTATGATCCTATCAAATAGAACAGGTAACTAGTAATTTGGGGCAAGCAACATTAAATCTGTCCTATCAACCCTGGGATTCTTTATAGTGCCAGTGTCTTGTTTGTACATAATTGTTTGCATGTTGTCACCCCTGTTAGACTGAGAACTCCTTGAGAACAGGGACTGAATTCTTTGCCCTTTTTTTGCCATTGCTTAACACATGCCTGGCATATATTAGGTGCTTAATAAATGCTATTTGACTTGAACTAATTCCAGGCCCAGCTGGGGAAGTGCTCTCTCCAGATAAAGACATTGTGTGGTCTTTGCAGATTATATTAATTTTTCATTTCCTTATTAGTTGCACTGCATCCAGTTTGGTCTCTACTTAACTAGAGAAATCACGCAAGGTTGGGGGAAGGGGAGGGTGGTTGTCATCGTTAGTGAATTCAGAGGTTGCTATGCTATGCTACCATGATGTTGAATGTAGAATATGCATTTGTGGGATGGTCTAGCACGCTGACAGGTTTGTTTTTGTACCTTGCAACTTTTAGAAATGACGAACGGATTTCTTATGGAGGTATGTGTGGATTCAGTGGAGTCGGCTATAAATGCAGAAAGAGGAGGTAAAAGAGGTACAGGGGAGGGGGGATGAAGTGTTCTGAACCTTTCTCACATGCTTGTAAACAGACCCTGGGGAACCCCTTGTGATCACAAGATCTTGGATCTAATCCTTACTGCCTCTCTGAACCTCGGTTTCATCTTCTGGAAAATGAGCAGTGAGATAATCTAAAATCCTTCTCTAAAAATTCTTTGATTTTTGTGAAAAGTAACTGAAACCGGGGGTGCTAGGTGGTGCTATAGTGCACAAAGTGCTGGGCCTGGAGTCAGGAGGCACTTAACAGATGTATGCCCTGGGCAAGTCCCTTGACTCTTTTTGCCTCAGTTTCCTCATCTGTAAAATGAGCTGGAGAAAGAAATGTCAAACCACTCCAATATCTCTTTCAAGAAAACCCCAACTGGGGTCATGAAGAGTTGAACACAGCTGAAAAATGACTAAGCAACAGCAACAAAACTGGGAAAACAAAAGCGGCATAATAAGGGGAATGTGAGGCGGATCATCCGATTCAGCCCCACAACATGAAATGGAGAGCCAGATTTCATCTCTTTCATTTACTGAGCTGGAATTGTATCTCCTACCCCAAGGTCGTCTTTGTACTTTAGCATTACCTAGTTTAAAGGAAGATTTCCAACATTTCAGTAATAGGCTTTTAGTTCTTTGCCACTATTCTAATTTCATTTCACCAGTTTGCATTTTCTGTAACCTAGTCCTTTAAGTTTTCTGATTTTTGATATTGATTTTGATAGGTTCTAACTAGTAATTTGCCCATGTCCTAGACCTAGTATAACTTGGAATTACTCAGAACCAAATCCTGTACTTACTCATATGTAAGAAAGATTTAATGTACCTCTGGGGTCAGTCTAGAAACGTATCCTCTATTCCAGTGCCCTTCTTCATAGTCTTCTTTGGTGTCCTGTAGAGACCTTGAGTGGGATATTAACTTTTAGATCTTACTGTGATTGAGTCTGCTCTCACTGCAAAATGTAGATGGGCCAGAAGATAGCTTCTTGTTACGATGAATATTTGGAACAAAGAAAGACAGACTTTGTCTGGGATTTCTGATGACTTTGAAGCTCTTTTATCACAGGTGCTGGCCGCATTGAATTGTGTTCTGGTTTGCTGGAGGGAGGAACTACACCCAGCATGGGTGAGTGCAAGTTCTTCTAAGTAACTCCGTATTAAACCCTTGGGCCTAGCCCATTGCATCAAACAGCTAGCAGATGCTTAAGAAATGTTTTTGGGTTTTGTTGCATTCGTTTGGCCATCTATTACTATGACATAATTGAATTAAGTATGATGTAGATTTTGAGAACTCCTGACCATGCAAGGAAAGCAGCCCATTGTTGTAGAAAAGGTGCTTGAGTAAGGGTCAGCGTACAAAGGACCGACCTTGTCGTCACGAAGATTTAGGGTCATGTCCCGTCTCCAACACTTACCACTGTCTGACACAGGGCAAGTCACTTAACTTGCCAGTGCCCCAGGAAACTTTAAGACTGTTGGTTGTAAAGAAAGTGCTGAACTGCTTTGGAAGAACTCTTTACTGGTACTTCCCTTCTCCAGTGAAATCACAGGTCCAGTTCAGAAAACCAAAGTCTATGACTTATCACCTGTGTGGCTTAGGACTTTCTGCCTGTGCTCAAATAACTTTGGTTTCCTAAAGCGTAAAGTGAGAGGGTTGGGAAAGGATAATTCTCTGAGGTCCTTTACAGCTCTAAATCTACGGTCCTGGCTAGCTATACGATCTGTCTTCTTTATGTGTCTTCATTCCTATATCTTTGCATGACCACTCAAAACAGAAACTTTTGTGAAGATTCACAGAAGGGACTAAACAATTTGCATTTGTGTGGTTTGGGAACACAGAACTTGGACCATTAGAGTTGGTTTTAAATAGTGCTTCAGAAGAAGACGCAGGAGGAAAAACTTGAATCTCAGTGATTCTGCTGGCAGAACATGGAGATTAGTAGCTGTTAGAACAGAATATGTTGTACAAGATTCTACAAGAAGTTTTATGGAGCCTTGAGTGACAAGTACTTTAAAGATTTCAGTGTCATTCTTTGCTAGTTTCTAACATTACAGTTGTCTGTTACTTAGCCATGGCTCTTGTGCATTTTTCCACTTTTTCTCCACTCCCACACTCTATTTACATTTCTTTTGGCCTCGCCAGTTTGCTTTTCCTTTTTTGCTGCTGGTGACATTAAGAAACAGATTGAAGAGGCCAGAGATATTTTTATGTTTATCTCTAAGAGTTAAGAGTTTGTTGCCCCTGCTTGGTTTTTTCTTTTCACTGTGCCTTCTTATAGGTATTCTCCAAGTGATTAAGCAGTGTGTCCAGATTCCTGTCTTTGTGATGATCCGACCACGTGGAGGGGATTTTTTGTATTCAGACCGTGAAGTAGAGGTCATGAAAGCAGACATCCGTCTTGCCAAGCTTTATGGAGCTGATGGGTTGGTATTAGGAGCATTGACTGAAGATGGACATGTTGACGCCGAGCTCTGCATGACACTTTTATGTAAGGACATAAATGTTGAAATGGAAATGTCTGTTAATTATCCACAATGTGATTATATCCATATGTACTCAATGTACCAGTAGCCAGGTCATTTGTTAAAGATGGTGCTTACAATAGGGAAGAGGCATTAATCAGACCACAGATACTAGTATGTAAAAGGTTGAATAAACCTGCTTATCCAGTGTGATGAAACTTAAGGAAAAATTCATTAATTTCCCATTTGTTACTCCTTGCTACAATATTTGTTGAAAGCCCATTGTCAGGCAGCCCATTAATGCTATTCAAATGCAGCTTAAATGTCAAAAAACTTTGAAAGAGGCTGCTATTCATATATCATGATAGAAGCAAAATAGACAGCGATGAATCTATTAGAAAGAATTCAGGTTTTAACAATTTTATGACTTTGAAGTGTGAAAGGTATAACAATTTCCACTTGAACACAGGTTTGTTCACTTGGTTTGTCTCCAGTCATTGTTAATAGTCCTAATGATTTTGAATGGTATTAAGTAATTTTTAAATTTGCACAGGCTTCTATATATGACCATTAAGACATACATTACAGTATATATGTAGAAACAATGCCATTTGTAAATGGACTGTTCTAGCTGCAATATTGTTATGCAAGACCTGCTCAAGAATAGGGAAAAAAATTGATGTGACTTTGAAAATAGCAAAGTTAACTAAAAATATTTGTTGATAATAAAAATAATGAATTAAAAATTGGTTTAATTTGCTAAAATAACTTATCGAGTTGACAAAAATTTTAAAAATTATCTGGTCCAAAGAAGTAAAGTTGTTTTTAATAACTTACCTGTTTTGAAATCCAGTTTGTTTGTTTATTTAACTCAGATTTTGTTTAAAACGAATTAATGGTATTTGAAAGCTTGAAATCAAGAATTTTTTTTTTCTCCCTACATTTGTGGTCAGACCCTACCTTTCAGTTTTGTGGCCTGCCAAGCTTACAAAAATAGTCTACATATAAGTCTTAATTTACATGTACGTATTAGCCTTAGTATATGTGTTGATTAGATGGCCATTGTTGATTTTAGCTAGAGATCATTTCTAAGAATGAGTTAATTATAACATTGTTTAGAAACCTTCAGCATTTTTTATTTCTTTCTTTATTTCTATTTTATTTTTATTTTTTTGGCAGGATAAGACCTGGAATGTATGATAGCCTTTATTTAGAATAGCATCATGCCAGAATGGGCCATAGCTCATTTTTGTTTCTTTCCCAGTACCTAGTACAATAAAATTGAATTGTCAGAAGAATCATGGCAGGAAAACATTAAAGAATGGTGTAGGCTTTAGAGCAGGCCTGTATGACCTGTGGCCAGTGGATGTGCAGGCCTGCCTTAGGGAATGGGAAAGGGAGGAGCTAGGGGCAACATTTTAAATTGTTTTAAATTTGAGTTTACTATTTCTTTGATGCTATTGCCACAACTAGAATACATGTGGAATCTGAGGGAGGTTCTTCCATGACTTTTTCTCCTGTTCCATTAAAATAAATTTTAAATTATGTGACAGTGTGTCTGTGGGAATAGGAGGGGTGGGTAGGAGTATGAAGCAGGACAGAAGAGACCCCCAGTTTCCAGACCAAAATAGAGTATTGCTTGTTAAAAATAGGATAGATAAAGGAGGGAAAGTAGCAGTCTTAACACTGAGCTTGCGGAGTTGCCAGGCCTTTATCAAGTTATTTGTCAGAAAACAGTAGGTTAAGGAAGGGGTCTGGGTCTTTTGTGTATTTCATTCTGTCATTCCCTCATTCTTGTATTTATCGAGCACCCACATATGTAAGGCATTGTGCTTTGGAGAATAGAATGAAAAACAGGGCAAGGTTCTGCTCCTGGTGAGTTTATAGTTTAGTAAAATTTGTGACTCTCCTTTGACTTTCAGTTTACCATTTAGCTGCCTCATAGAAGTAGTTGAGAGATTTTGGAAATGGGAAGTTGAAATCTGTGTAATACAGATTTTTTTTTTTTGAGTAATAAACAATGTTTATATCATGTATTTATCACATGACTTTCTTTTTACAGCTGCTTGCCGTCCCCTGCCAGTCACTTTCCACCGAGGTGAGTCACGTGTTTTTGAAAGTTCTATTGAAATAGACTAGTGTCTTCACCCAATGCCGTTTTATAGGACATATTTCCATATCTTACGACAACTAGGCTCAAAATAAAACTACAAAATTTTTGCACTGTTGCCAATTGGTTTCTTTAAACTGATGGAAATCACAGATTTAGATATGTAAAATGTTGAGAAATTTTTAAGGGAAAAACAGTGTTGTATTGTGTTGAACTTAAAGGGAAGAGAAAATGGAATATACACATGCATACATACATGTGTATATGTGTGTGTATATAGATATACACACATATACACGCATTTTTATATATATACACAATTAATTTTTAGGACCTTTAGATCTAAAGTTATTTGTTACTTTGTCAGCATTGAAATGTCTACATAAGAAATTATCATCTTGGGCATAGTTTAAAATGTGAAAATCTCATAGAAAAGGAAAAACTGGAACTTTTTTTGCTTAGGCAGTTGGGGTTAAGTGACTTGCCCAGAGTCACACAGCTAGTAAGTATCAAGTGTTTGGTCTGAGGCCGGATTTGAACTCAGGTCCTCCTGACTTCAGGGCCAGTGCTGTATCCACTGCACTACCTAGCTGCCCCTTGGAACTTTCTTTTTTATAGAGTCTTAATATTTCCATTTAGATTCCTATATGAACTTCTTCAAAGAATGAATTAGAGAAATGATAACTTAGGCCAAGTAGGAAATTTTTTATTCCTGAATAACTGAAAAGTTTTGGATTACTATGTTTTTTTCAATATTGTATGGAAAATGTTTTTTATTCATGCTTTGCCTTTTCTTGTCCAAAATTATCTCTATAACGGTGCAATAAGATTTTAATGTAAGATCGTCTCTTTCAGTTATATTATTCTTGTATAGGATGTTCCAAAAGTCTTTTTTTTTTTTTTTTTTTTTTTTGGTACGTTTTGGTTTTTTGTTAGGCAATGGGGTTAAGTGACTTGCCCAGGGTCACACAACTAGTAAGTGTTATGTGTCTGAGGCTGGATTTGCCAAAAGTCTTTTGCAATAAGACTTTTGGGGCACAAACAGTACAACACAACTTTCAAATGTAAGATGTTGATCATTTATGCTTCCAGAGAATATTGCTATTTTCATTAGAAAGAAGGATCTTCAACCTTCTTTCCTTAAGGACTTTTTCTTGTTGACTTTTAATCTGTATATTGGTGAATATATTTCTGTTACGTAGATGAGGCGTCAAAAAACTGAGAGTATAGTATATATCAACATTTCTATCCATTTATTCCATTTTTTTTTTTAAAGAAAATTTTTTATGTGTTTTTATATCACCTTCACTTCCAAATGTATATTCACCGTAGACCACTAACTCCTGTTCTACGATAGAATAGGTCAGCACTTCCATTGTCTGTTGTACAAATAAACTATATTTTAAAATTTAACATACCAAGCATGAAAATTTTATAGCAAGTATACAGAATACATTATTTTTGTTGCTAAAATAAAGGAACTCTAGAATTGCCAAGGCTTTAAAATATGTATCTCTATCTATAGATCTATATCTACATAGATATTTAAGGTATTTCATATATTTCTATTTTTCTTCAAATTTCTGGCCTCTCCAAGGAAAATATGAAGTAGAGGGTAGAGCTTTTTTCCCCATGGCTTTCAACTTTCTGAAAATTTTATATCTCTGGGGAGATTGTCTCTAGGGCTCCACAAATTTGGGTTTTCATTCTAATATTAGGATGGGGTAGCCAAAGGTAAGTAGGGGACACCACTGGGACAAAAGGCTCAGTAGCCAGCTTAATCTAATTTTAGTTGAATTGGATTGGTGGAGGTCTCTCACCTGTGTCCTTTGGATCTCTGTCTTGTCAATCATATTTCTGTACACTGGTAGCACTTGTGCTAACCAGGGCAAAGGACTTCTTCTCTAAAAGGGTTCTGTTGTCTTTGACTTCTTTCATACCTGTGCTTATAGGTAGAGGGAGGGAATCTAAGAGAATTGGAGTGAAATCTCCAGCTAAAAATGATATTAAAATGCCCTGTTCTGTCATTCTGCTGTGAACTTTTGCATAGGATATCCTCTAGAATATTAGTTAAAATGATGTGATGTTCTTTTAGAAATGATGACTTTTATTCAACTCTGTAATTAGGATGCCATCTTCCATGATTTCTCCGGTCCTTAAGGATCTGTGATCAAAATCCAAATTGTTTTATGTATTTTCAGCCTTTGACATGGTTCAGGACCCAGTGGTGGCTCTAGAAACCCTTTTGACCTTAGGATTTGAACGTGTGTTGACCAGTGGTTGTGACAGCTCAGCATTAGAAGGGCTGCCCGTGATAAAACAACTCATAGAACAGGTATGCAACCCCTTAAAAATATATAGATATAGCACACTTTTGGTTACTTTGGACACTGCTCTTCAGAAACCCTGTGTCATTGTTTTATATGCTATTGTTATTCATCATTATTGTTTCTAGGTGGAAAAAGGCGAGTAGACAGGTAGATATTTCCTTCTTAGGCAAGGAGTCAGATTTAATTACATTTAACTCATTTATTCACATGATTATCCACAGCAAATTTGCCTTCTCTCTGCCATCTAGTATGATTCTAGGCTAACTTATCCTCCTTGTGTCTAGGAAGTCCAAAATGATTTCAGTATTAACCTAAGAGAAACGTAATGTAGAAGGTAAATTCCACAGCACCTTCATCCCACCTCATCAGGCTGCATTCTAAGACTTATATTCTTAACGTTCCATTATCTTTTCTACTTCAAATCCCTTACCATCCACCTCCACCCTCCGGTTTTGAGGAGGAAATACAGCATTTTCCCCCATGTAATATATCCTTCTCAAACTATCATCATCAGAAGAAACAAACAATTAATTCATGCCAATTTGAAATAAACCACTTTGGTTACAACCTGGTTCAGGCACTGGCTGGACTAGAGAGCCATAGAAGCTTCTTCCAGCAGTGATTCTTAGCTTCTGGGAGATTGACTCAGTCATTCGCAGTGATTGTAGAATGAGCTGTTCTGAAGAGTGTTTCCTCTTCCCTCATCTCCAAAAGTAACTATGATTATCCTTTATAAACAACAAAACATTTTTATTTTAACCATTTTAAATAGAATTCTTCCTAAAATGTAATAGGTACCTTTTTTTTAGCTTTAGTAATAAGCAAAGTATGTCAACCTTAATTTCACCTTGTTTTAAGCAGCTATTTATATTTACTTAGTACTTGGGTGGGTCTGTTATATCACCAGTTACAACCCAACTCTACTTTTTCATCCTTTGTAGCTCTGTACTGGGTCTTCAAAGGGAATCCACCCAACAGTGGAGTGCCTTTCCATTAGTTAACACTTGGGTGCCACTGAAACATGTACATTGTCAATCTGTTATCCCTTGTCTTTGCTATATTATCAGTCTTTCCTCTTTTTCCAGCTATGTATCTCTTGGATAACATCTTTTATGCCACTTCTTCATATGTCAGCATTGGTAATATGCCGTAGCCTAATGACGTCTATCATATCTCCCTCCATTGTCTTTTGGGTGAACTGAACTTTTAATTATTTAGAAATCGTGATGTTTCACTACCGTAGAGCATCACTACATGATATGAAAATTAAAAACGAATTTTCATTTCAGGGAGAAACTTAGGATTATTGAAAGCATGGACCAGTTTCCCAAATGCAATCTAGTGCCCTGATTTTTGTCTACTCAGTTTTAGGCCACGCTCACTGTCTGTCTGCATTGTCAGTCTAACATCTGTGTGCATCACTTGAGTACACGTTGATTAAGTGGTTTTCATGTGCAAATCATTGTGCTGGATGCTGGGGATCCAAAGCTGAGAATGAAACAGCTCCTTTCCTCATCCCCTGAGAGGAATAAACGTTCTCAGAGAAGTCAATAAGAAGTCGATAAAAGGAATATAAATAGTTTCTAGAGGGAGAAAGTACTGTCAGCTAGGGTAGGGGATCAGAAAAGGTTTGGGGAGGAGACAGCAGCTGAAAAGGAAGCTCTGCACACTGAGAGGTGAGGCAAGAAGGGGATCCCACCTGGGCCAAGGCACGTGGGCCGGAAGGGAATTGTGGGAACAGGTAGCCTGGAGGCTTGTTTGATCAGAACAGAGAGGGAATAGTACTAAATTAGAAAAGCAGGTGGGGGTCAAGTTGTCCAGGGCTTTAAATACTAGACCAATGATTTTTGTATTTTTTATCATAGAGACAGGGAATCACAGCAGATTTTTGGGGGGGGGGAAAGACATGGTTAAATCTGTTTTAGGAATATCAGTTGGCAAGTCTTTGGAATATAGATTGGAGAGGGGAAAGCCTGAAAATACAGAGAGAAATTAATAAGATACTTTAATAGTCTAAGTGAGAAATAATGAGAGCCTGAACTAGGGGAAATGTGTGTGAAACAGTAGTTGATGAGGTAGAATTGATAGCATCTGACTAGATGTGAGGTGGGAGTGCTGGTGTGAGAAAGAAGAAAGAGTTAGGAGGAAAATTGTGAATGAACCTGGCTTGTTGGACAAATGACGGGCTGTGTGTGTGGTGGAAATAGGGAAGTTTGGAGGAAGGATAGGTTGGGCAGGGGGCAGTATGTAAGTGATTTCTGTAATAGCTAGACAACTCCCTGGTCTCTTCACTGAACTGTGTGTCAGTGTGGACAGTAAGCAGTCTTCTATCTACGTGGTTTTTCTTGATGTCTGTCATTTACGATCTCAAAAGCTAGTGTGGGAAGTTGGACTGAATCTGTGCAGCTTGGAGAACGTGCCCCAGAACTTTCTTGCAGAAGTTATGATGGGGCTCCATCATTCTTGGCACTGCCTCCCTTCCTCACCCCCACAAAAAAAAAGAAAAAGTGAGGGGTGTAAAGCCCATTGCATTGCCTCCCAGGCTTTTCTGAATAGTTAATAGTTGGCTTAGAGGTCAGAGCAGCATTTATTCAAGTTGTCTTCCACGAATTCTGAGATGATCAGTGGGAGAATTCAGGGAAAAAAACTTTATCCGTCTCTGCAATAAAGTATTCTCTGTAAGCAGCAGATAAAAGGAAGCTACCTTTGGAAGCTCTGAGATAATTTAAAGCTATGGATCTTATAGTATTAATGCACATAGGAACATTCAGCTTGTTATTTAAATTTGAGGGAAGTTGATTCATTAGCAGATGCATTATTAAAATAGGCTAGGTTGATAAGCATTGAAAAATTTTAGGGGTAGACTGTTCAGAAATGAATCTGTTTCCTTCCCACCCGTGTTCTCTCCCCCACCCCCCAAAAAAAGAATACACAGCACTTGTTTTTGCAGCATCGTTGTCGCATGTTTCTTTTCACCATATAAAGTATTTTGCCTCCACCAAAGCTATACTGCCATCCAGCCATGCCTCCTCATGGCATTGGGGGGGGGGGTGTCAGATAAATAACCCAGAACTGTCAGTAGACCATGTCAGTGGAGTATAAGCTCTGGCCAATTCTTGCATGCTGGAAAGGCTTAAGTATGACAACTACATGTTTTCTTGTCCAGATTAGCTACATTTAGAGAGGTGCGGCACTGCTTTGCATTAAGTGGTTAATTTTTCAGCCATAGGAACTCTCAGAAATTTCACTACTGTGTTAGAGAGGGGTTATAATCTGTGTATGTGATAGGATTACCCTTAAAAGCCAAATTGAGGAGCTTGAAATATTGAGTAACGGCACGTCTTATTTTTTTAAATAACTCAACTCTTCCAAAAATACATGGGGCTCAACTATATTTGCTTCTCCCTTTAGCTTTTAACTGAAGGAAATTTGAAACCCACATCACAATAGCTTCTACAATACACTTGGGTCTGTTGTGTTGCCGTTATAATTTAATTAAGGGAATATGGATTGTGTTTTAGCTTTGCATTAACAATGCCTCAGAGGTAGTAGAAATGAGTACGGCTTAGATTGTCATTACAGGTAAGAGGGAATGGGTTTGTCTCTTCTCTGTTCCCTTCCCTGCTTGTTGCCCCTTGACATTGCTCACCTGTGGTGGCATCTTTTGCTTCCTGTTGCTTCTCTGACTCTTGTGTTGCAGTCGCTTCTGCTCTGTTTCACTGTCAGTGCTTCTCTTCTTTACTCCAGTCTTCGTTCTTCTCTCCACTTTTCCTTGTTTTACGATGTCCCCTTTGTGTTCCATGTTCGTGGCTTTTCCTTTCCTCCCTGCCTCACTTTCCCTCTCTCTCCTTAGGTATATCTTTTTCTTGCCCATTCTTCTTGACTCTCTCTCCTGTTCTTTCCATCTTCCTCCTACCATTTGTCTCCTTCCTCCTCTTCTCACTGCTTCCTTTCCCCTTTATCTGGCTTCTCTCTTCCTTTCTTTTTTCTCTTCTTATCCTCTGCAACTACCTTTCCCTTCTTCCCCCTGACCCTTAACTGTCCGTAATATGGAATGCTTCAGGTATGCTTTTTAGTACTTATTTATGATTGAATGATATTCTTCCTATTTGTCATGTGCCTATGTGGGGAAATAAACAATTTTCTTATCAAGTCAGTTATCTCCCCACCTAGATTTTTTTTCTTGTGGTTTAATATCACTTAATAGAAAAAAAAAATACCTATCCTTCTTACATCATATGCTCATGTACTCCTGGAGCAGTTGAAAAGGTGCTGGCTGATGAGAGAACGTAGTTGACATTTACATGTGTTGTCTCATTTGGACTCCCCACAACAACCTTGTGATGTGGATGAGGCTGAGAGATTGAGAGACTCGTCTGTGATCACGCAGTTACCAAGTGTCTACTGCAGGATCTGAAGTCAGACCTTCAGACTCCAAGCTCAGCGCTCTGTCTCCGGCACCACTCAGCTGTTACGAGAAAACTGGGCCATGTTTTCAAAGCTCATCCTGGTGTGGATAACCAAGAATTGACCTTGTTTATTTTCAACTTTGTTTTCCTTTTGCTCTGCATATAGTAATAGCTCAGATTTATGTAGCACTTTAATGTTTGCAAAGTGCTTTATAAATATTATCTGATTTGATTCTTAAAACAACCCTGGCAGGTGAGTGCTATTATTCCCATTTAGCAGATGAGGAAACTGAGGCAGATAGAGGTTGCGTTTGCAGGAGTAACTTTCCCGTCCGTTGTCACTTTTAACCCACCTGCTTCCCAAGAGCCCCAGTGACTTTGAGTCAGTGGGGTCGTCTTGTTCTAAATTCTAAATTAGCGGTTATTTACGTCGTGATAGACTTTATTTAAAGAATAAAACAAAGCCAAAAAAGATGATGGAATATTGCAAGTTTAAACAGAAGTCAGGAAATCTCAAGTTTTATCTTCCACAATTATTAGAATGTAAATCATATTTAGGAACTAGTATTTCATTACTGGGAACTAGATAAAGAATACATTAAACTGTATTTCTGGTGTATTGATGTGATGATTCAGCAAGAATACTTGAGGATGTGTAGGGTTTAAGTTTATGACATTCCTTTTTCAGTAATTTATCTTTTAGACTTATTTTGATGCTGTCATTTTTCTGTTAAAGGCCTTGTGGAAAATCAGCTATCATCCCTTCGATAAATTCGTGGTCATTTGAGACAGAATTTTTGGGGACTTCATTAGTGGTGATTAAGAAAGATTTTATAGTGTTTTATGATTACAGAGTGCTTTTCCATACTTTATCTCACTTAATTGTTTCCTGTGCCTGGTGAAAAAAATACCATTGTCCTTGTTTGCAGATGAGGATCCAGAGTCTTATGGCTCCAGATTTTTCCAATAAACTACACTTGTTGATCTAGATTCTCCTAGGTCCCATAATCTTTTAAGCTACTTGGGTTCCATTAAGACATTTCTCCTTCAGTATGTTAAAATTAACCTTTTAGGTCTGGTAAAGCTCTTTTATCATCGCTCTTTCTTAGGGCAGAAAGTAACTTACATTAGATAACAGAATACAGTTACCCCACTCAAAGGCTCAAAAGAAATATGGTAGACCTATTTGAAATCAGACACCAAACCTGATAATAAGGAACTAAATGTGCTTTGACTCATATTTCTGTCCTCTGATTCATTATCACATGCAAAGGAAGAATATTTAAATTTGCCTTTTTTCTTTTTTCAGGCAAAAGGCAAGATTGTGGTAATGCCAGGTATTTATTTATTTATCCATTTGCTAGCAATAACATTGAAATTTAGTGTAAGATGAGAAAGGAGGCAGATAGAGTCAGAAGAGAGCAGTCTAGCAAGCATTGGTCAAAAAATACGAGTACGGTATTTAGGGAAAATGTTCTAGATTGGCAGACCTGTGCTGCCTAAGAATTTCACAGAGGGGGTATTTTGGTGTGAAGAGATATTCTGGTAGGGGGTAAGCTAGTCAGGACTTAAAATTGGAGAACTCCTAGGATGGGACAGTATGTCCGTGGAGTCCAGGCTTGTCTTTTTGTGGAAAGGGTTTCCTGGCATCATGGGAGTTCTCCTATGGTTACTGCCTTTTGGCATGGATTTTTTTTGCTGAGGAGAAACAACATAATGCCCTTGGGAGAAACTCTGTGCTAGAAGGATGGACAGCAATGTGGAATTATGCCTTTGGGGATAGCGTCGTCAAGGTCGGCAGTCACATTTTGTCAGGTCCAAGTCAGTGAGTCTGTAAGTGGAGGTGAAGGACTCGGCAAGATGATGTAGTCAGTAGTATTTGAAAGGAAGATTGAACTATTTGGGCAAAGTGCAGATAGATATAAATGGAGCATCAAATAAGTGGGGTGCTTCCTAAATTCCACTGGCCACCAAATTCTGGCTGTTAGCCAGTAAATCCGTGATGAGAACAATCTAGTCTAGGTGCTTCCAGCCATATGTAAGAAATTGTGGCTTAGAGGCAAAATAGATGGTTCACTTTGCAAAGAGTTAGTTAAAGGGACCCAGGGTCAAAGCGAAGGACTTTACTCAGAAGAAGGAACTTTAAGTCAAGGGTGTTGGGGGTAGGCAGGAGGCAGGAGAAGCAGAGAGGGGAGAGAAAGGGTATGGTTACAGGTTAGATATAAGTTGGAGTTTAAAAAAGGAATTTTGGAATAGAAAAAGGTCAAATGGAATTATAATAGTTGTGAGGTCCGTATATAAAAAATGTTTAATGTTTCAGGGAAGGCAATCTGTTTATTGTCTATTTGAGTTTAGAGAAAGACATTCTGTATCTACCTTTTGCTTAAAGCAGATAATTTAAAATTTTATGCAATCTTTAAAACAGCTTCCTAAACTACTAAAAATTTCTAACAGCTTTAGGAATAATATAGTAACAGTTTAGTATGAATAAATGCATAGAAACAGAGGGGGAGAATTTATGCTTATGAGGAGAGTCATTGTCAGTAAATTAAAATTAGGGACATAGTTCAAGAGTAAACTCAATGATGAGAAGGATTAGCAATGTAGCAGTTGAGACAATTGGTTTAATTTCTGGAGAAAATAATTAAGTTGTCTCAGTTGTCACTGAGGTGAAGTGATTTGAAATTCCAAATTCGTTATGTTCATTTGTTTTAAAATGATTCAGTACAAATTTAGAAGGGATCACATTTAACTGAGTATCTGGGACATTCTGTACATTGCCCAGAAACTATTAACTGATGAGGATCAATTTAGTACCTAAAGGTGGGAAAAGAATAATCAGTGTTAGCATCCAGACTGCAACACTGAGGGACTGCCTTAGCAGCTAGCAACCTATATATTAAAAATTGATTGGTAAAACAAAACAATTTATAATACTTAACGTTTGAGAAAATAGACATAGCCCAGAAGAAAGTCTATAAGTAGTACAGCAATTTCTTGAAAAGAAAGGTCTACAGCTATATGCTATTCACCAATCTTAGCCAAAACCAGATAAGCAAAACTGGTCATTTATGGCTGCAGGATGGCTTGGGGTTCAGTGAGACATGAGTCACTGTTTCTGTTCAAGATAGTATTGGCAGCAAAAGTTCTGAAGTACAACTTAAGTTTCCTTTATTCTTAAAATGCATAATTCAGTCTTGTTTATGAAGGAAATATATATTTCCTCTTTTGTGCACATCATAATTTCATTAATGAAATCCCATAGGAAAAAATTAACATGATATAATAAAAATCTCAGTTAAGGATCCTGGTAACTGGCTAGTCTTATAAAGATGAGTTGGTTGTAAGCGCCAGCACCGTACCTTGCTGACTCTGGTAACTAGACTTCTGTTCATCCACAAGTGGTTTCTGGCATGGGCAGGGCCCCAGAGGGGCTTGGTTTCACTTGTGTTGATCATTCGTGTTCATGTAGGTTTAGTGTGTTGTGATTTTTTAAAATTGACATCTCTGGTTTACGTGGTAACATTATTAACCAGAATTTCCGATTTAAGAGCCTGCCTGTTGTCTTTGCTGGGGTGGATTCTTGCCCCTTATTGCCCTGGGAACCTGAGCAGGTCAGCCCCACCCTTCTGGGCCTCAGTTTACTTCTGTGAAGGCCCTTCTAGCTCTCTGGCGTTTAAGCTTGAACCCTGGGCTGGCCCGTCCGGGGCCGGTCTGGAGCCTCGTGCTTGGTGGGTGTTGGCGTCGGTGCTGGCGGGGTGGGGGTGACACGGGGCTCCCGCGGGGTCGGGGCGTCCGTGATGTAGCGCTGGGCTCTCTCCCCCAGGGGGCGGCATAACCGAGAGAAACCTGCAGAGGATCCTCGAGGGCTCCGGCGCCACCGAGTTCCACTGCTCCGCGCGCTCGGCCAAGGACTCCGGCATGAAGTTCCGGTAGGGGTGGGGCCTCGGGTGGGTGGGGCTTTGGGGAGGGGAGGAGCTCTCTATGGCTGGCTTTCCTCTAGGACTCCCGGCCCTGCTCAGGCTAGGGTCCCCGGCCACGTACATGGCCTTGCAGGGGGCTGAGGGAAGCAGTGAGGAGCTGGCTGGGTGGCCCGAGGTGGCCTCCGCCTGGGACTTGGGGGATCCCCAGGGCCGGTTCCTATGGCAGCGCCCCGTAGGCTCCGACTGTCCTGGGAAGTGTTTCTGTGGGCTGCCCCCGACAGTGAAGGGGGAAGGGCAGCAGCTTAGGGCCGGCTTTGTAGGAAAAGGGGGAAATCTCATCGTTGTGGGACACGTGCTAATCATCGTCGTCATCATCATAAAAATAGCTAACGTTTGTATAGCACTTACTATGTGCCAGGCACTGTGCTAAGTGCTTTACAACTATTATCCCATTTGGTCCTCACTACAACCCGGAGAAGTAGGTGCTATTGTTAACCCCCATTTTACAGAATGGGAATCTGAGACAAACGAGTGAAGTGACTTGCCCAGGGTCACACAACTAGTAAGTGTCTGAGGCTGGATTGGAACTAGAATCTTCCTGACTCCAGACCTAGCGCCCTATTCACTGAACAGTCAACCAGCCTCATGACACTTGTTATCATTTAACAACAAAGGAAAGAGACTGAATCTGAGAATGCAAAACTTAGAGTGGAAGACCACTGCAAAAAGTGATCCTGACACACACCCCACCCACCACCCCATTTCCCCAAACTTTGGCCAACAGAAAACATTTTCATGTAGTCCTGATCTTACAAAGTGAGATAAGCAAAGCCTGGAAGTATGCTACTAAGAAGGATCATAGAGTCTGGAATCCAGTTCTTCTGGGCTACCCTGATCTGGATCTGTGTCACCAGGACTAGACAGAAATAGTGTTGGGGATTTAGGTACAAGTAGCATGTGCCATCTATGGAAGACCATGCTTAACCGCTTGAGGCCATCAAAGTTAATGTAATAATCTGTTCCTTTATAATTTCTTTGACAGAAATACTTCTGTTGCCATGGGAGCTTCACTTTCCATCTCAGAATATTCCTCAAAGGTAACCGATGTGTCAAAAGTAAGGACCTTGAGTGCCATTGCAAAGAGCATCCTGTAGGATTATCAGAAGCCATGGGAGAGACATGAATACACCTGGATAAAGGTTCAGAGAGGCCTGATGTCTGAAGCAGCCATGACTCAGATACTACAGTTTTACCCTTCTCTGGGCAGGGCTTGTTATACATGGACCATAGAGAATCCTTCCAGAAGAGCCACAGTTAGTTGGAGAAGCTGCAGTCTCTTCATCTGATTATTCTGGACAGCCTTCTTCATCATCATGACTAAATATAGCTGGATCAAGACTTTGCTAGAGTCTTAGTCTGCCCAGTAAATGGGATTAATTGATGAGCTGGAAAAAATTAAATTTGAGATTTACTTTTGATTTACCTTTGTGAAATAAAGTTTTCATTTCTGTTAGATTTTTGTCTATTTAATTTTATTTTGCATGTAGTCTTTAGCCCAGGTAAAAAGAATAATTTGACTTTTGGATTGGACTTTTTTGGGGGTGGGGTGGGATTGGGGAGGCAATTGGGATTGTGACTTCTCCAAGGTTACACAGCTGGTGTCTGAGGCCAGATTTGAACTCAAGTTCTCCTGACTCCAGGGCTGGTGTTCTACCTACTGTACCACCTACCTGCCCCTTGGATTGCACTTTTAAAGTATCAGTCAACCAACAAGTGTTTGTTGATTGGCTCTATGTGTCCTGCACTGTGTGTAGTGTGTGGGGGGAAATAAGTAAGAAAAATGGTTCTTGCCTTTAACTATTGCAGTCTCCGCTAATCTTCTTTTCTGAACTTCCAAAACATATTTTGGCTGTGCTACATAATTAATACTCTTAATGCTATGTGATATGATTTCCTTTTTGCTTCATTTGTATTTGTCTTATCCTAATTAGATTAAGCTAGAGGACAGAGACCATGTTTTGCTCCAATATCTGATCTTTTTCTGGTCATGCCATACATTTTCCTACTCCCATGCCTTCATTTTCTTGAAATCTATTGTCTTTTATTCAATATGCCCAATTCCTAGCCTGCCTTCAAGGCCTAGGTCAAAAGCTTCATCTTCTGTCTTCCTTGATCATACCAGTAGGAAGGAATTTCTCCTTCTTATGAATTTTCATGATATTTCATTTATTCATCTGCAGCATGGAGCAGTGGAAAGTGTCCTAGATTTGGAATCAGACAACCTGGGTTAAAATCCTGACTGCCATTTACCAGCTTTGTGACCTTCAGCAAATCATTTGATGTCTCTGGGTGTCAATTTCCCCATCTCTGAAAGGGTAGTGGGGGTGGGAGAATTCCAGTCTCAGTCTCTAAGGCCCTTTTTACCTCTGAATCCTGTAAGCTTGAATTTTAACTCTGTATTATAGTTTTTGGTGCACTTGTATTTCCCCTGGTGGACTGCAGGCCTCTTAGGTAATAATTACCTTGTCTTATTCATTTTTGTTCCTACCATTCCCCTTCCCCAGTGTCTAACACAAAGTGGGGACTCATTCTCTCATCTCCAGCACACATCTGAACAGGAATTTCACCTACAACAATCCTAACGAGTGATCATCTAGGCCAAGTGTTGACAATTGAGATCATCAATAAATTGGGAGAGCGTATTCAGTTGAATGATGAAATTGGAAGACAGGTTAACAAAATTAAGAGTGAGGAGATAATCATAGACTTTTCTCAAGGAATGTAGCTACAAAACGGAGGTGAGGTATGGGGCAATAGCCAACCAGGATGAAAGGATTGAATGAGGGGTTTTTGAGGATGAGAGAGACATGGGCATGTTTGTAAGCTGGTAAAAAGGGAGAGATTGAAGATTAGTGAGAGCTGACATGATAGAGGGGGCAGTGTGCTGGAGGAAATGGCATGGAACAGGATGACATGCATGCCAAGAAGGCCCCCGTCTTCATGTATGACTGGTGAAGGAAGAAATGATGGGAAACATCTTGAGTTATGTGGTGAGAGGAGGGGAGAAAAGCGCGCTCAGCGAATGACCTCAAATTTTTTCAATAAAGTCAGAAACAAGGCTCTCAACCGAAAGGGCTGGGAGAAGAAGGATGGAAAGTTTCCCCAAAAAGCCACTGTGGTAAATGGTATAATGAATCCAACAGGTACATGTAAAAGTGTGGCCTTGGGGGGCAGCTAGATGGTGCAGTGGATAGAGCACTGGCCCTGAAGTCAGGAGGACCTGAGTTTAAATGTGACCTCAGACCAAACACTTGTCACTAACTAGCTGTGTGACCCTGGGCAAGTCACTTAACCCCAATTGCCTAAAAAAAAAAAAAGTGTGGCCTTGCTGCAATGCGGACCCAGGGTTCCTTCATTTTTCTCCAGCTTCATTCAGCAGCACTTGAATAAGAGCAAAGGCAGGAGGTGGTGGTGGTCATGCTAGGCCCAGGCCTGGCAGGGCCAGATCAATAGCACATAGCATAAGGGGGCAAAGGGACTCGAAAAGAGAGGACAGTGGGACAGCATAGAGTTGGACTGGTTCACCAGCTGGGTCAGGATGGGGAAGAGAGGAGAGTGTACCCAGTGATGCAGGGATGGCTCGGGGCAGAGGAGAGGGCTGGAGGCAGTGGAGGTCATGGTGAGAATGGAGAACAAGGTAACAGGTTGCAAGGCAGAGAAAAAAGTGAAATGACAACACATTTATGAACAGGGAATTTGGAGAGTCCATGAACATCAAGTGGAACACGTGCAGGTGATGGAAAGTCTGAGCGTCTGTGTGTGTAGCTAGGGTGGGGTGGGGGAGGAGGTCATGGGAAATGAGTGAGCTAACGAAAACAGGGAGTGTCAGTATTAATGCTGAAGTCCCCTGGTAGGAGGGCAGGGACTGGGGAAGAAATATAAAAACTGAGCCAGGCACCGGACTCATTAAGGAGGAACAGACAGGTAATAGCCGAAAGAATCCTGAGTGGGTGACAAATACGGATTGAATGAACCCCAAAGGAGGAGTGGTTACTGAGTGATGGTGATAGAGGGAAAGTCTGGAAGTAGCCATGAGGGGCAAGGAGTGTCTCCACTGCCCCACCACCCAACCTGTCAGTCAGGTATATGAGTCTACATGCCGCCAGGGCTGGGACGAGTGGCCAGAGAGGCGGTATCAGGAGGGAGCCATGTCTCAGCGAGTGCAGGAAGACAGAGTGAGAAACAAAGAAGTTTGGGATAAAAGCAAGCTTGCTCCCTACAGAACAGGCATTCCGAAGGGCACAGGGTGGGGACGGGTAGTTTTAGAGTGGTAAGTTGGGGCATAGAAAATAGATTTATACGATGACAGTCACTGGGTTCAGAGTCAGTGGAATGGGAAGGCTAGTATGACAAAGTATAAATATCTTAATTATTGAGGAATGACTTAAGAAAGTAGGTTTTGATCCCTAGGGTGTGGAGGTGGGGCAGGCTGGTAACACAGCATGAGCAGAGAGGCTGGGCCTTCTCACAATGCAGAGGTTCCAGGCAGAAGCTTAGCAATCTGAGTCAGCCTCAGGGTGGAGGTTGTCAGGCCACCATGTGTACCTCAAAGATTGAGGATAGAAGCAGGAGAACAGTGGCTGGAGAGGGTACCAGGAGGGTGGTGGAATGGTAATAAAGTATTAAGCTTCTTGAGCAAGGATGCTTTTCTTTCTCTCTTTGTATCTCCAAACCTCGAGCACAGTTCCAGGCATATAGTAGGTGCTTAATAAATGCTTCTTGAATAAATTAATCCCCTGTCTCTCATTAGTCATCTTCCACATAGCTACCAATCTTCCTAAGGCACAGGCCTGACCTTTCCCCCAAACCTTGAGTGACTCCCTAATATCCCTAGGATCATGGGCATCATAGAACTAGAACTCATGGCTCAGTGAATAGAGTGCTGGGCCTTAGTTCAAATCTGGCCTCAGACACTAGCTGTGTGACACTGGGGCAAGCCGCTTAACCTCAGTTTCCTCAATTGAAAAATGGGCATGATAACAGAACCTATTTCGCAAGCTTGTCATGAGGGTCAAACAAGATAACATTTGAAAAGCACCCGGCACACAGTAGGCACTATGTAAATGCTTATTTCCTTTCTTTCCCTTCCCTTCATAGGTCAGTTAGTCCAAACCCCACATTTTACGAATGAGGAAACTGAGAAAGCACAAATTTTTCACGACGTACCAGTTATTCCTTGAGTTTCACGTTCCTTCCTTCTCTTGCCTGTGTATTTGTCCGAATGAACTCATCTTCCTGGAATGGTGCCCTTCCTTTTTACTTTTCACAGTCCTATCTTCTTTTAAGGGTCAACTTAGGTGCCCCCTTTATTGTGAAACCTCTCTTCCCTTTCTTTTCAAATGGAATATTCCCTTATCTGTATACATGTCTATTTACACGTGTACATGTACATATTTACTCATCTGTGTTTACATGTGTACATATACATATTTACTCATCTGTGTACATTTCTCCCAATATATTGTAAGCTCTCTGAGGGCAGAAATGGCTTCATTTTTGCCCATGTAGTCTTTGATTCTGGTACAGGGTCTTCTGCTAATGCTTCATTTGTTTTCAGACATTGGCACAGTACAGGCATTCTACTTCATTCTGTTTGCTGCTTTTATTAATGTAGCCTGAGCCAGCTTTACTTTTCTTGGACTACCATGTCAAACTTCTGCTGACGTATACAACTTGTGGTCTGCTAAAACTGCTAGCTCTTTTTCATATGAAATGTTGTCTAACCACACCTGCATTCTGTATGCACTAGATACTTTTTTACACAACTACAAGATTTCACTCTTATTCTTATTAAATTTAATTTTATTGAGGGAGAGATTTCTTTCTACTATTATGGTTGTGAAAGATTTCATGGAAGAGGTGAGTTTTTAATTGGGTTCTGAAGAACGGAGAGGATTTCGATCGACAGAGCAGTTGTTTGAGGGATGGCGTATGTACACGACGGGTGAGTAAACCAGCTTGGCAGGAGTGAGTAATCTATTGCCTCTAATGCTGTGTGGCAGCCATTCACCATGGCACCTGCACTTAGCATTAGGATTGGGCAAAGTCAGGTTCAGGTAAGTACTTGCCATGCTCTTTAATGACTATGGAAAAGACGGAAATCTGTTTAATCATTGGAACTATGGAATCAAAATTGGTCGTTAGAATAATCTGTACATCTACTTTCTCACTCCGACTCATTCTTTTTTGACTATTCTTCATTGTTTCCCCTAGTGAGGGGTGAGCATACATTCGCTTGTAAAGTTCCAAACCACAGAATTACGTCATCATCATCTGGATAGAAATTTTGTCCTCTCAAACATGTCGTACCCTCCCTCTCTCACATCCTGTTTTGGTCTTCAGTTATTTAGTTGTGTCTGACTCTTCATGACCCCATGGAGTCTATTCTCCACTACCTCTCAAAATCTATACTGGAGGACATTTGTAGGTCAATCTGGATTGAGTCTGGAGTTA